TTAAGTCATTTAGGGGTAAAACTAAAAGTACCAGGCCAGATGTGGTAATTCACACCTGTAATCATACCCTGGGAATGCTAGAGCTGAAGGATCAAAGTTGAAGCCAGTCTAGGCTACAAAGGAAGACCCTGTCTCAAAACAAAGCAAAACAAAATATACCAGTCTAGTATTACTGGGCAATTGCCTTTGATTGAAGGGATTTGAAATACATAAAAAAAACCCTTCTCTTTCCTGCTTCATTCCCCTATAAAGAAACAATAGTTTTAGGGTCTTTTCATTTCAGTGGAAAGAAAACAAAACCAATGAAGTGAATACTAAGAGCCATCACCTCTATTCGTACTATCAATGCAATTAAAACCTTAATAGAGGCTGGGAAGGTGGCTCAGTGGTAGAGCGCTTGCTTTGCATGCATGAGGCCCTGGGTTCGATTCCTCAGCACCACATAGGCAAAAGGAAAAAGGCGGAAGTGACGCTGTGGCTCAAGTGGTAGAGCGCTAGCCTTGAGCTGAAGAGCTGAGGGACAGCGCCCAGGCCCAGAGTTCAGGCCCCACAACCGGACCCAAAAAAAAAAAAAAAAAAAAAAAAAAAAAAAAAAACCTTAATAGATTTAGACTAAAGACACATGCTGCTCCTATTGTTACAGCTAAGGTAGCCTGGACCAAGCTTTAATAATGGAATTGACAATAATAGAATACTTTTGATGTCCCTCTCCAGTTCCACAAAGAGAAAGAAAAAAGGGCTTCCTATAATGTCAAGACCCATCTAAGGTTAGTTCTATCTCTAACAAAGTACATAATCTCTCTTTGGAGTCCCGGAGAACAGATGTTTTCTCAGCTTTGAACTAAAGATGTGATGAAATGGCTTATCCACATTCAATATCCTCTTGGGAAAAGAGGAAGGAAAGAGGCAACAGCTGCATCCATCACAGCTGCAGTTTAAGAGATTACCCAAACAACTGAAAAAAAATGGAACATGGAGTTAAACCAAATTGAGAGAGAGAAAAAAAAATCATGGAAGTCATAGAAACTTGATCTAACCCCTGGAATTTGATCCCAGGCTATATATTCCACTGTAGTATAGACAAGAATCTATTCATGAAGACATATGATTAGCGCTTGGCAAAACACAGAAACCACGCAACAAACATCTGGAAGTCTTGGCTTCAATGAAGTGACTGTAAGAAACGCATCCTGCCCCCTGTATGCATCCCTGAGACACACTTAGGATTTAGGAATTGTCTCTTGAGAAACTTTGTGTTGCTAATTAGAAATAATCCTTGCTTACAAATGCTAAGGAAGCCTCTTGGGATTAGATTTTTTCCCTAGTGGTCCCCTGCTCCCATCAGCAGAGTGCAGAGGTGAATATAGGTAAGAGTTACATATCTAAGTTAATAGGGAAAGGAAAGAAACAGACCTCTTAACACCACCTGTAACTGTCAGTTTAGCTCTGCTGTATATGGGTCTAGCTCAGTTCATCCTAGGCTTTACTCTTAATTTCTGTCTGAAAAATTCCTGACTTGATCTAAGATAAGAAAACAGGGGAAGAATAAATAATGCCTTATATTTTTCATATGTTCAGTAATAGGGTAAGAACCAAGATGGAGTAAACTTTCAAATAAAGATGTCTCTGGGCCAGCCTGGTGGCAAGTGCCTGTAATTTTCGCATTGAGGAGACTAAAGGAGGAAGATTATGGCCAACCTGGACTATAGTGAAACTATCTCAAACACAAAAGAAAACAGCCAAGTACTATAGCTCACATGTATAATCTTAGCAATTTTGAAATTGAGGATGGTTCAAGACCAGCTGTGGCAAAAAGTTTGCAAGATCACAGCTAACAAAATGGGTGTGGCAGTGCATACCCATCATCCTAGCTACATGGGAAGCATAAATAGTGGATTGAAATCTAGGCCATAAATGTCAGAGTCTATTTGAAAAATAACTAAAGCAAAAGGTGTTTGAGGTGTGGCTCAAGTGGTAGAGCGCCTTCCTGGTAAGCACAAGACCTTGAGATAAAAACCCAGTACACAACACACACACACACACACACACACACACACACACACACACACACACACACACACACACACACATACAATCCCTGAGAAGGATGGGATTAGGAAGAGTAAGCTGAGGCAAGATCATGCAGATGAAGTCAAAGCCTGCTTTTATTTGAAATTCTTATGTTTTATTCATCACAGATATTATATATATATGTATATATATATATATATATATATATATATATTCAATAATGGCTTTGGTGCCCTCTTAAAGTTTGCATCCAAGGAAAAGTAGCCTCATTTACTTTACCTTAGCCCTCACCCTGTTCAGGAAACTGAGATTTAGGTCAAATAATTTGTTCATGAATATCCAACTAGAGTAAATGGCAGAGCTGGCATTTAAAGCCAAGTCTGTCTGTTTCTAAACCCATGGCTTTTGCCATTAAACCTTCAATTGTTCAATAGTCCACTTAGAGGATTATCTTGGGCTACTGGTGATAATTAATACATGAAAATAAAAATGTATTCACTTGTCCAGAATTCAGAGAAATCTCAATTCGTTCCAAACCTAGAATGTGTGAAAACTGTTGTAAGAACCAGACATTTCTGAGAGGTCAAGTTGGCCTTTTGCCTCATTCTTCTAATATAGGCCCTCAGTGCCCATGAGGGGGATTGAATTCAGGACAATCTTGTTGCCAAGGATACACAAATCCTTGGCTACTAAGGTCTGTTATATAAAACCGCATAGTATTTACATACCATACATGTACTCTCCGGATACTTGAAATCATCTCTCTTGATGATCTATAATACTTAAAACAATGTAAATAGTATGAAAATAGTTGTTAGGTGCATTGTTTAGGGAGTAACAAGACAAAAGTCTGCATGTATTTGGTGCAGATGGAATTTTAAAAAATATTTTTGAGCAAGGAGGGGGTGGCTCACACCTGTAACCCTAGTTACTCAAGAGATTGAGATCTGAGGATTATGATTCAAGGCTAGCTCAAGAAGAAAAGTTTATGAGATGTTTTAATTAATCAGCAAAAGTCAAGAAGTGGAGGTGTGTTTCAAGTGGTAGGCACCAGCTTTAAGCAAAAAGCCAAGCAAAACTGGGCACTGGTGGGCTGGGAAGGTGGCTTAGTGGTAGAGTGCTTGCCTTGCATGCCTGAGGCCCTGGGTTCGATTCCTCAGCACCACATAAGCAAAGAGAAAAAAGCCGGAAGTGGCGCTGTGGCTCAAGTGGTACAGCGCTAGCCTTGAGCTGAAGAGCTGAGGGACAGCCCCCAGGCCCAGAGTTCAGGCCCCATGACCAGACCCCAAAAAAAACAAAACAACTGGGCACTGGTGGCTCACGTCTGTAATCTTAGTTACTCAGGAGGCTGAGATTTGAAGATTGTGGTATGAAGCCTACCTGTCAGGAAAGTCCATGAAACACTTTATCTCCAATAAACTACTCAGAAAAAGGCAGAAGTGGCACTGTGGCTCAAGTGGTAGTGTGCCAGCCTTGAGCAAAAGAAGCTCAAGGACAGAACCCAGGCTTAGAGTTCAAGTCCCAGGACTGGAAAAAAAAACACAAAAAGCAATGGGCCAATACAGTAAAACATTTTAAATATCATCAATTAATTCCCAAGTAAGGATCAGGACAATCTCAATAGTGGGTCTGATAAATAATCTATTACTCTAAGGACAATATAATTAATTTGATTAGTTTGTAATATAATTTGTGACTCCCTTATTGGTCATATGATGTTTCCCTTGGGGCTACTGTTATATCACCTATAATCAAATACTATTAACCACGTTGAGTTATGGTATTTACCCCAGTAGACTGAGAGCTTCTTGACTTAGTCATCTCTGTATCTCCAATGTATAACATATAGGTGCTCAATAAATATTATTGAATTAAAATTAATGAGCCTGAAGTAGGCTAACCAAAGTATTGTTTCATAAGGTCTGACGTTTATCTCAATGAACATCAGAATGGATTCACCCTGCTGTACTTTAGGGATATATAATGAACAAACGTTTGCATGCAGTTCTATTTTTCTATTTGTTCAGCATTTCTTTGGTGCCAGTCCTTGGTCTCCAACTCAGGACCTGGGTCCCATTCCTGAGCTTTTTTTTCCCCCACAGAGCTAGTTAGTGCTTTACCATTTGAGCCATAGCTCCATTTCTGGCTTTTTGGTGGTTAATTGGAGATAAGTGTCTCATGGAGATTCCTGCTTGGGCTGGTTTTGAATTTGGATCCTCTCAGTAGCAGGCATGAGCCACTGGCACCCAACTGGTTTTAAATTTTTAATGTTTATGATTTATAGCCAGCAGCTAAAAACAAAAAAATATGAAACCAAATTAAGGACCTTCTCACTTTATCCTCATAGGGTAGATGGAACAAGACTTCCCTGGGACTTCTTTTATAAAGGCATAACACCATGCATGAGCACTCATCCTATGGCCTAATCAGTTCCCAAAGATGTACCTACTAATTGCATCTCTTTTGGGGTTAGGATTTCAATATATAATTTGGGGGGGGCTGGGAAGGTTGCTCAGTGGTAGAGCACTTGCCTTGCATGCTCAAGGCCCTGGGTTTGATTCCTCAGCACCACATAAGAAAAAACTGGAAGTGGTGCTGTGGCTCAAGTGGTAGAGTGCTAGCCTTGAGTTGAAGAGCTGGGGGACAGCGCCCAGGCCCAGAGTTCAGGCCCCATGACCGGACCCCCCCCCAAAATGGGGGGAGGGGCCACAAATATTCAAATGATAGTAGCCACAATTCTAGTCCCTGCTACTAAGTTTTAAATCAACAGATTATTTTCTTTATTTTTTGTCTTAATTACAACACTTTTATTTAGGGGGCAAAGGGGAAAATGAGATACTTTTGGCTAGTATGGAAAGACAAGTATATGGATGGAGGACCATCTGTGTGTGTGTGTGTGTGTGTGTGTTCTCATTCTAAAGTTGCGTTATGGTTAATGCAATGATTTCCCTATGATATTTCCACTTTAGAAACGTGCTTACAAGAGCTATGTCAGAGCCCTCCCTCTGCTGAAGAAAATGGGCATAAATTCCATCCTTCTCCGAAAAAGCATTGGTGCCCTTGAAGTAGCCTGTGGCATAGTCATGACCCTTGTGCCTGGGCGTCCCAAAGATGTGGCCAACTTCTTCCTCCTCTTGCTGGTGCTGGCTGTGCTCTTCTTCCACCAGCTGGTTGGTGATCCTCTCAAACGCTATGCCCATGCCCTGGTGTTTGGAATCCTGCTCACTTGCCGCCTGCTGATTTCCCGCAAGCCTGAAGACCGATCTTCTGAGAAGAAGCCCTTGCCAGGAAATACCGAAGAGCAACCATCCTTATATGAGAAGGCCCCACAGGGCAAAGTGAAGGTGTCTTAGGAACAGAAGCGCACAGTGGGGACATTCCAGGCAGTTGCCTCCGTGACACCCAGGAAGATATCAGTGTGTATTTTTTATTTGATTTATTTCTCTTGGAGGAAAGGGAAATTTATCATCTGCAAGTTAATTGGCTTGTGTACAATTATACCATAAAATGAACCCCTATTGACATTTGTGCTCCACCTTTAATCACTCTGAGGCAATGCTCACATCTTGCTGCATGTACATGTATACGGCTACTATTGAAGTGTATTTGTGAGATGGACTCCAGCAAGCATGTGACTGTGAGATTCTGTGTGGGAAAATGTATTTAATTACTGTGTGTGTGCACTCATGTACATACGTGTATGGAGAAGGCTTTGATCTTGAACTAATCCTACACAGGTATCCTTCCTTTCCTTATAAACTGATGCCAGCAAAGGTAGAATAAACCTCCTATAAAGAGAGTCCTACATTTCCTATAAAGCAAGTGATCTAGTCCCTTATGAGAAGATCCTTCTCTAAATTAAGCTGAAAACTTAATCTCGCCACTATAGAAAAAATGTTATTTTAATTAAAAACAGTTATATATAAAACTACTCTTTACACTGAAGTTAAGTTTTAAACACTCCATATTTAGTTTAATTACCAAAGGATACATGCTGTCAATAGTCTCATTCTTCAAGTGAAAAAATAGAAAGTTTCACCTTGCCCTAAGCTCTTTGGCTAACAATTTGAAACTAAAGTAGTACATTTATTACCAGATATCATCTTCAGATTTTCTTTTTTCTTTTTTTGGTCCGGTTGTGGGGCCTGAACTCTGGGCCTGAGCACTGTCCCTCAGCTCTTCAGCTCAAGGCTAGTGCCCTACCACTTAAGCCACAGTGCCACTTCCGGCTTTTTTCTTTTTTGCTTATGTGGTGCTGAGGAATCAAACCCAGGGCCTCATGCATGCAAGGCAAGTGCTCTACCACTGAGCTAACTTCCCAGCCCCAATCTTCAGATTTTCTTAAGCCCAAAGCTGCCTCTCTTTTCAGTGGCAGCTGAGGGATTGGCCCTGTTCCAACCTCCAACAGTGTTCTCTGGAACCTGAAATTTAACAGAGGAGCTAGATCCAGTGTTACCCTGCCAAACAGACTTGTGCTCCAACTGATTCTTTTACTGAAATTTGCTAGTGTATTTGGAGTCTAAACGACCCTGGAGTTGTCTCCTCTATACCTCTTTATCATTCTGTGGGAGAGTTTAGCTAGAGGAAGGACAGTTAACATGGGTTAGTTAGATTGAGCAGTATGGAAATTTGCTTTCTTCATTACACACTGCTGTTTCTCCTTGTTAAATGTGCTTTGATGATTTTAATATTATTGTGCCAGGGATTGGGGGGGGTTGTGTGTGGGAGAGTAGGTATTGTATTTTCTTCAGTGTCATTGTTCTTGGTAATTGATACTTCTTTGTCTTATTTCTCTCATTCTTTCAAAATAAAGATTTTTGAAATTTGGAGGAAACTGGATAATATTGAAAATCTGGAAGCAAAGGGTCATAATAAAAGGACTATGATGTGTGTGTGTGTGTGTGTGTGTGTGTGTGTGTTGGTACTGGGGATTTAACTCAGGACCTCATGCTCTCACTTGGCTTTTTCACTCTACCCCTTGAGCCATGTGTCTTTACTTCTCAATCATTTTGCTGGTTAATTGGAGTTAAGGATCTCATGAACTTTTCTGCCCAGGCTGGCTTCAAACTTCCATCTCAGCTTCCTGTGTAGCTAGAATAATAAGTGTGAGCTGAGCCCTCATCTTTGTTTCATTTTTTTTGGGGGTCCAGTCATGGGGCCTGAACTCTGGGTCTGGGCGCTGTCCCTCAGCTCTTCAGCTCAAGGCTAGCACTCTACCACCTGAGCCACAGCGCCACTTCTGACTTTTTTCTTTTTTGTTTATATGGTGCTGAGGAATCGAACCCAGGGCCTCATGCATGCAAGGCAAGCGCTCTACCACTGAGCCATCTTCCCAGCCCCTGTTTCATTGTTTTTTGAAGACAGGAATTTGCTATGTAGCCAAAGCTGGCATGGAACTCATTATCCTCCTGAGATGATAGGCATAAACTATCAAATTCAGATCAGGCTTTTAAAAATCTAGTGGAGAAGCAAAGGAGGACTATACTACAATTCCTTAATATACTAAGTTCCCACCTTGTGAATTGTTTAAGTTAGCTCTCTCACACCTTTATCAGTGGTGAGGTTTGAACTCAGCACCTTGTGCTTGCTAAGCAGACTGTCTACTGCTGAACCACATCTCCAGTCCCCTTTTATACACTGGTTATTTGGGGATAAGGTCTCGCTTTTTTGCCCAATCCTGTCCCTGGATTGTAATCCTTCTAGTTCAGGCTTTTTGTAGTAGGTGGGATGACAGGTGAGTGACACCATACCCAACAATTAGTAAAGAAGGGGGTCTCGTGAAGTTTTTGTCTAATTTTCATTCTCTGGATTTCAGCACCCTGAGTAGATGGGCTGACAGGCATGAGCCACAGTGCTCACCTCCATCATACTTGATAATGTTAGTATGTAAGACAGAGACAGAGAGCTATGCTATTATGAATCCAACATTATCTCCAGGTTTTAGGAAGTTCTTTTTTTTTTTTGTCTGTTGTGGGGCTTGAACTCAGGGCCTAGGCACTGTCCCGAGCCTCTTTGTGCTCTAGCACTTGAGCCACAGTACCACTTCCAGTTTTCTGGTGTTATTTGGAGGTAAGAGTCTCATGGACTTTCCTGCCTGGGCTGACTTGGAACCCGATCCTCAGAGCCTCCTGAGCTCACTGGTGTGAGCCACCAGTGCCTGGCAGGAAGTTCTTTGTTAGGTGATACCAAGGGAAAGTAGAAAGCTGCAGGCTTATTAAATAAATGTGAAGCACTGTCTGTCTCTCATTACGATGTGTCCACAAAGTGGTACAAGTTGAACTGCCACAACCTTGTTACTCTTGGTACATAATTTAATCATTCAGTGTGTTATTTCATCAACAAAAAGTAGTGTGTTGAAACCTTGAAATCTTTTCCAATTTAATTTCTTTGAGACTATGAAACAAGTAAATGCAAGAGAAAATTTCAATTTTACTAAAGGGCAGCTATTAGAAAAAAAATGGAATAGTGTCAATTTTCATGCCTGATTAAATAAGACTTTGTCAAACAACTCTGAAAACTACAAAAATATGATGTAATAGTAATTTCTGCTGTAGTCCTTCTGAATATATTAGCTTAATGTCACATCTCTGTAAGACTGCAAATTTTATCTGTACAGTTTTCCTTTGTTTATAAATATGTTTTGCCTTAAGTCAGTGAGAGTTCTCTTAGTCCTAGTTGAATGCAAGATTAGAGACCAAGATAACATTTTAGGCTAAATAAACAGTTTTAGGTTGTTTCTTGAAGATTAGGAATTTCCAGGTTGACAGCAGGTCAATATCAGAACATCTATCTGGCTTAATATAAATTTGTAGACAACCTTGCAGGTTATCCACACCCATCCTCAGTAAAGGAAGGGCAGATCCAGTTTTTCTTTACTTCCACTCTCTAGCTTCCCTCCGGGTGGGGAGCTGACTAATTTATTCTGCAATGAAAGAGGCCACCTTTATTGCGAAGTTTGTGGTTTCTATTTTTTCCTATAATGTCCCCACATTTGAAGATCAATCTTCTGGGAAAAATGATCATTATGATTGAACATGTTAAATTCAAGAATGAAACGCTAGTTACCTGGTTTTATGCAAAACGACGGATTAGAATAGTGACAACGCCAATCACCTGATTCCAGCAGCAGCGGCTCTTTGGCAGCTTGCCCCAGACCTAAAAGGGTGGGGTAAACTGCCCTTGTGAGTCATCACCAGCGCGCGAACCACCACCCGCCACTGAGCTGTACTCCAACCAATCAGGTTTTAGTAGAGGGCGTTGCTCTGGTCCACCTCCTCCGCGGATGCGCATGCGCGAGACGGGGGCTGCGACTTTGAATTCCGGAGGCGCCTTCTAGAGTCCGGGCCGCGGAAATTGTGTGGCGGAAGAGGTTGCCAGGTGAGGCACTTTTAAACAATGGGATGTTTTGAGATCTTTCAGGGCGTCTGGAATATCTCGAACTCTTGGGATAAGACTACACTTAATGGCTTTTGGGTTTTTCGTTAGGCCTAGAATATGCCGAAAAGATGAGTAGACTTTTACTAATGTTGCTTTTGGCTGGGGCCAGCTATGAAAGTGATCCTTGGGAAGTTCTGTTCACCTCATAGGATCAAAAGTTCCGCCCTCGTTCTTTCTTTGACTCTAGGAAGCCGCTCAGAACTGGAACCTTATGCTGGGTTGGATGGAGCTATTACCAGCTTTGGCCTGTCCTAAGGCGAGGGGATGGAATATCATTACGAGCATTCTGTAACTTCCCATGTGAAGCTAAAAACCTGTAGTCATTCTTGGCTCCCCTCTTTCTTTGTCCTTAACCAGCTTGCCCCTTCTGCCTCCAAAACATAGCGCGAATCCAGTTATTTTCCACCTCTATCCTGTTGTACCTTGGGCCTAGTATAGACTTGCCTTATGTACTTGAGCTTTCAGCCCTAGTTTGACATTTTAGCTATGCATTTTCAAAGTGCACTGACAAAGTAAAGAACATAAAGATTAAAAAGCAAAATCAAGGAAGGGTGGGAAAAAAAGGAGTAGACAAAGATTAAGTTTGTGAAATGGATTGGTTTTAGACTTATGTGATGTAGCCATTCTAAGAGGAAAGTTCCATTTTTAGGATTCAGCAGTTAATTGGTACTGTAGTGTTTGTTATTTTGTTTCTATTAAGATGAAGGACTTTCTGAAATATTTGATTTATAGGTTTTTTTCCTGTATCGTTGTCAACTTATTTATTGCATACTTGTTGTATGCTATGTATTATGCACTAAGCATGGAAATATAGGCAAATATGTTTTTTTTGTCTTGGTGAAGTAAAAAGGAATATTGGGATGATAAATGATAACTTGACACTTCTTTCTATATAGAATACCACAGAGTTTGGTGTTACCTCAAAAAAGAGCAGAATATACAACACTCCAAGTTAGTAATAGTTGTCAGACCAGTTTCACAGACTGGAAAGTAAAAGAGATACCAAGAAACTCAAGATTCATTATGAAAACGAGTAATCCTGTAGATGATGCTAATGATCAACCTGAAGATGCTCTGCAAAGAGCAATGGGATACTTTGAGAAAGGTAAAATAAAATTTTCTTCTTCTTATGAATGTCCTGTCCTATAAAAACACTCTAGTCTTGAAAGCTGAGCATGGTGGCACAGACCTGTAATCCAGTACTTGAGAGGCTGACATAAGCACATCATGAATTCAAGGTCAGCCAGGGATAGTAAGACAGTCTCAAAAAAAAAAAAGGAATTAAAAAAATTTTTTTTGTCAGTCATGGACCTTGAACTCAGGGCCTGGGAACTGTCCCTGAGCTATTTGCTCAAGTCTAGTACTCTAGCACATTGAGCCACAGTGCTATTTCTGATTTCCTGGTGGTTAATTGGAGGTAAGAGTCTCCACTGATATTCCTACCTGAATCATGATCCACAGATCTCAGCCTCATGAGTAGTTAGGATTACAGGCATGAGGCACCAGAGCCCCAGCCATCAGTTTTTTTTCTTGAGTTTGTTTTGTTTTGTTTTTGGTGCTGGTTCTGGTGCTTGACTTCAGGGGCTAGATACTGTCCCTAACCTTCTTTTGCTCCAATCTAGCAATCTATCACTTGAGCCACAGCTCTACTTCCAGCTTTTTGGTAGTCCATTGGAGCCAAAAGTATCTTGGACTTTGCTTTGTAGGCTGTCTTTGATCCATGATCCTTAGATCTCAGCCTCCTGAGTGTCTAGGATTAAGGGCATGAGCCACTGGTGTCCAGCTTTTCTTTTCTTTTTTTGGGGGGGGTCCGGTCGTGGGGCCAGAACTCTGGGCCTGGGCGCTGTCCCTCCCTCAGCTCGTCAGCTCAAGACTAGCACTCTACTGCTTGAGCCACAGTGCCACTTCCAGCTTTTTTCTTTTTGCTTATGTGGTGCTGAGGAATTGAACCCAGGGCCTCAGGCATGCAAGGTAAGCACTCTACCACTGAGCCCCATCCAGCTTTTCTTAAGACATTGTTTTGGGGTCGGTCATGGGGCTTGAACTCTGAGCCTGGGTACTGTCCCTCAGCTCTTCAGCTCAAGGCTAGTGCTCTACCACTTGAGCCACAGCACCACTTCCGGTTTTCTGCTGGTTTATTGGAGATGAGTCGGAGGGGGGTATGTGTGGCTGGGAATGTGGCTTAGTGGTAGAGTGCTTGGCCAGTATGCATGAAGCCCTGGTTTCGATTCCTCAGAAAAAGCCAGAAGTAGCACTGTGGCTCAAGTGGTAGAGTGCTAGTCTTAGCAAAAGAAGCTTAGGGACAGTGCCCAGGCCCTGAGTTCAAACTCCAAGACTGGCAAAAAAAAAGAGTCCCATGGATTTTCCTGCCCTGCTTGGCTTTGAACCATGATCCTCAGACCTCAGCTTCCCGAGTAGGTAGGATTACAGACATGAGCCACTGGCACCCGGCTTCCTAAGACTTTTCAAGGAAAAACATATTTTTGTTATTCTTGTTTTTATTTAATAGACATTTATTGAGACCTTAACTACTACATAACAATATATGGTACTAAGGACACAACAAAAAACATCTTTCCAGGGGAGTGGTTCCCAGACTACCATACATTGTGATCACTCAAGCATCTTTTCTTTGGTCAGTTGTAGGGCTTGAACTCAGGGCCTGGGCACTGTCCTTGAGCTCTTTTGCTCAAGGCTAGCATTCTACCACTATGAGCCACAGCACCACTTCTGGTTTTCTGGTGGTTATTTGGAGATAAGAGTCTCGTGGACTTTCCTGCCCTGGCTGGCTTGGAACCATGATCCTCAGATTTCAGACTCCTGAGTAGCTAGGATTATAGGCATTAGCCACTGGCACTTGGCCCAAGAATCATTTAAAACATATTGATATTCTCTTATTTAGATATTCTGATTTTATCTGTATGGGATGCAACCTGGCATTAGACATTTTTAAACACTTCCAGATGCACAGCAGAGTTTGGAACTTTTGCTCCAGTATGGAGAGAGATTATAAAGTTGAATGTTTATAGTATACAGCAAGGATGCTGTAAGATATTACTGTTAAATATTTTAAAGCTTTCAAAGTTGTTTTTTTGGTGGTACTGGAGCTTGAATCTTGCACTTGCTAGGCTGGTGTTTTACCACTTGAGCCATGTCTACAGCACTGATTTTTGCTGGTTATTTTTGGTATAGTTTCTAGCTTCCTGCCCAGGTATTTTCCTGAGTTATACTCTGCCAACTTTTTTCGGGTGCAAGCCACTGTGTTCAGCTTCTTTTCCTGCAAATAGAATTTCATGGGCATTTCTCCCTGGGCTGGGCTTGAACTATGGACCTCTTATTCTCAGCCTCCAAAGTAGTTAGAAACAGAGGCATGAGCCACTACCATCTGGCTTCTTTCAAGAGTGTTTTAGGAAGATATTTCTACTAGAATTTATTCTTTATAGAGTTTCAAGTTGTAATCATCAAGATTGAGAACTGAGAAAAATTTAAAGGCCTCAGTATTTAATAATCTTCCTTTCTCTAGGTCCCAAGAAATCTTCACGGAGTAAAGATGAGAACTTGGAAACACACTTGAAAGCTGTGGAAAATGTGGCATGGAAGAATGGGCTACCTCCAGAAGCAATCGACGTTCTATTAAATATAGCACTTAGTGGCACATTTGGTATGTTGAGGGGGTACATGTTTTTATTAGTTTGGCATTAGATTTGCTTCTCAGACTTTGAATTCAAGTAGTCATTGGGATCGGTTGCTACTTATTTTTGCTCTTTTCTTCATAAAACCAATCTGGTAAGATTATAAAATGGGCCTTTGCTGGGATTAGAGTACATTATGAATCAAAAGTTTCTGTCTGAGCTGGGTACTGGTGGCTCATGCCTGTAATCCTGGCTACTCAGGAGGCTGAGATCTGAAGATCATGGTTCAAAGCCAGCCCAGGCTGGAAAGTCCTTGAAACTCTTATCTCTAGTAAACCACCAGAAAACCAGAAGTGGCTCTGTGGCTCAAGTGGTAGAGCATTTGCCTTGAGCTGAAGAGCTGAGGGAGAGCATCCAGGCCCAGAGTTCAAGCCCCTTAACTGATCCCCCCCCCAAAAGTTTCTGTCTGAAGATTGCTGAAAATAATCAGTTGCCATATACCATATACCTTTACAAATAAAATGTACAATTTTATTTTGGTCAGTCATGGGCCCTGAGTTCAAGCCACAGGACCAGCAAAAAAAGCTGAATGACATCATGAAGTCCTGAGTTCAAACCAAAATAAAGCAACTACAAAAAGAATTAACACCTGATCAATAGTCTTTTTTTTTTTGTCTGTTGTGGGGCCTGAACTCTGGGCCTGGGCGCTGTCCCTCAGCGCTTCAGCTCAAGGCTAGCACTCTAGCACTTGAGCCACAGCACCACTTCAGCTTATTTCTGCTTATGTGGTGCTGAAGAATTGAACCCGGGGCCTCATGCATGCAAGGCAAGCACTTTTATCACCGAGCCACCTTCCCAGCCCCATCAATAGTCATTTTACTTTTGAAAGATATTATAGACTCATATATCCTCGTTTGCTTTTTTTTCAAATTTATTTGATCAATTAATGGTATTAGAGTTTAAATTTAAGTCCTTGTTCTTGCAAAGTGAGCACTCATCAATTGAGCCAAGCTCATCAGCTCAAATATCTCATCTTAAAAATGAGGAAACATCTAGAAGCTACCAGCTCACACCTGTAATTCTAGGTACTCAGGATGCTAAGATCTGGAGGATCTTGGTTTGAAACCAAGCTGGGCAAAAAAGTCTATGAGAATCCGTCTCCAAAATAACCAACAAAAGGTCAGACTGGAACACTGGCTCAAGTGTTTACACCCTCCCATCCTATTTATAGATGTGTATTTGTGTGTGTGTGTGTGTGTATGTGTGTCTTAAAACATATACTAAGTGAATTCATTGTGACTCTATTATCTCTCTAATTTTCCGTTGTAAGTTCTATATATTTTTCAAAGAGTTATAGTTGAGCAAGCAAGCCAGTGGGTAGAAAGCCATGGGTTCAAACCTTAGTACCACTGGGCGGGGGTGAGGAAAGTAAGTAAAGAATATTCTTACTTTTGCTCTTTTTTGAGAGTCTCACTTTGTAGTCCAGGTTGACCTTAAACTCTAGATTCTCTTACTTCCTCTTTGCCCAGCTTTAAAGAGATTTTTTTTAAACTTCGGAATTAGAGCTGGAGAACCAGATCCATTTTAGTATTCTTGTAAAAGACTGATAGTATTTTCTCTAATTAAAAATACTAATAATTGGGTGCTGGTGGCTCACACCTGTAATCTTAACTATTCAGGAGACTTCGTATCTTAGTTTGAAGCTAGCCCAGGCAGGACAGTCTGTTTTTTTTTGGGTCCGGTTGTGGGGCCTGAACTCTGGGCCTGGGCGCTGTCCCTTAGCTCTTCAGCTCAAGGCTAGAGCTCTACCACTTGAGCCACAGCACCACTTCCGGCTTTTTTAATTTTGCTTATGTGGTGCTGAGGAATTGAACCCAGGGCCTCAGGCATGCAAGGCAAGTTCTCTACCACTGAGCCATCTTCCCAGCCCCCAGGCAGGACAGCCTGTGAGACTATCATCTCCAATAATCTACTCAGAAAAAGCTGGAAGTGGCACTGTGGCTCAATTAGTAAAGCATTAGCCTTGAGCACAGAGAGGCTCAGGGACAGAGCCTAGGCCCTGAGTTCTAGACCAGTAAAATACTAATACACCATCAAAATGGATTCTTTTTTAAAAAATTTTTATTGTCTAGGTGATGTATAGTAACTGTACAGATGTACAGTTACATATGTAAGGTAGTGAGTACATTTCTTGTCAAACTTGTTACCTCCCTCCATAATTTTTCTCCCACTTTCCCTCCTTCCTAGACCCCCCCCCCCAAGTTATACAGTTTATTTCCAACATATTGTCTTGTGAGTATCTCTGTTGCATTGGCTCACCCTTTGTCCTTTGTCTCGCCATTTTGTTGTTCCCCTTCCCTTCCCTAATTCAGATAAACATATATACAATAAGCAGGGTACCAAAATCAAATTCAGTAAAAACAAGGGATAAACCATGGGATTAAAAAACACAAAAAGGAAATCACATAGTACATTAAAAACAACAACAAAGAAAAACCTCTTGTGTCCATGTCTTAGTGTTCATTTCACTTAACATCAACTTACATGGTCATATGTACATAGCTTTTGAGCTATTCTGCTTACCTGCTAGGATTATCCTAGATATATACTAATTACTACAAGTGAGGGAAACCATGGGATCTATGTTTCTTTAGGTCTGGCTTCATTAATATGATTTTTTTCTAAGACTTTCCATTTCTTCACAAATAGGGCAGTGTCATTTTTTTCTGATGGAAGCATAGAATTCCATTGTGCATAAATACATTTTCTTGACCCATTCATCTGCTGAGCATCTGGGTTGGTTCAATATCTTAGCTATGGTAAGTAATGCTGCTGGTTGTAGTTGTGCTGGTAGCTCTAGTATTGCCTTGTTTTTGGTCGTTTGGGTAAATGCCCAGAGGTTAGATTGCTGGGTCATAGAGGACCTCTATGTGTAGTCTTTTGAGGAACCTTCATAATGCTTTCCAGAGTGGTTGAACAAGTTTACACTCCCACTAACTGTGCGGGGTTCCCTTTTTGCCACATCCCCTCCAGCATCTGTTAGTTGATTTCTTGATTATAGCCATTCTAACTGGGGTGATGTGGAATTTCAATGTTATTTTGATTTCCTTTTTTTTTTTTTTGTCGGTCATGGAGCTTGAATTCTGGGCCTGGGAGCTTTCCCTCAGCTCTTCAGCTCAAGGCTAGCGCTTTACCACTTGACCCACAGCACCCACTTCCAGATTTTTCTGTTTATGTGGTGCTGAGGAATCTTTCTTTTATGGACAGAGATGTTGACCATTTTTTCATGTGTCTACTTCCTCTTCAGAGAAATCTCTCAAGTCTTTAGCTCACTTAGTGGGACTGTTGTTTCTTTGAGGATTTGTTGTCTTTTGTTTGGGGGGGGGGCTGGTCCTGGGGCCTGAACTCTGGGCCTGGGCGCTGTCCCTCAGCTCTTCAGCTCAAGGCTAGTGCTCTACCACTTGAGCCATAGTGCCACTTCCGGCTTTTTTCTTTTTGCTTATGTGGTGCTGAGGAATTGAACCCAGGGCCTCATGCATGCAAGGCAAGCACTCTACCACTGAGCCACCTTCCCAGCTCCGAGGATTTGTTTTTGGGGAATTTAATTTTTTGAGTTCTAAGCATATTTTAGGTATGAGGCCCTTCTCTGTTGTATGGCTAGTGAACATCTCCAAATCTGTGGGCTTTCTATTTATATTGCTAGCTATGCCCCTCTGCCATGCAGAAACACTGCAATTTAATGCAATCCCATTTGTCCAACCTTTCTTTGATTTGTTGTGTTTCTGGATCTTATTAAGAAAATTTCAACCTGTGCCAAGGAGTTCTAGAGTTTCTCCTAATCCTTCCTGTAATGTTTTCAGGGTATCTGCTTTTACCTCAAGGTCTTTGGTCCATTTGGAATTGATTCTGAGGCAGGGTGATATATAAGGATCTAACTTTAGTTTTCTACAGTGTTGAACCAGTTCTGCACCATTTACTGAAGAGGCTGTCTTTCTTCCATCCTATTGTTTTAGCTCCCTTATCGAAGATTAGGTGGCCATAGGTCTGCAGGTTCATTTCTGGGTCTTCAGTTCTATTCCATTGGTCCTCAGGTCTGTTCTTGTGTGAGTACCAAGCTGTTTTGATTACTATGGCTTTGTAATAGAGTTTGAAGTTTGGTATTGATATTTCTCCAGCACTATGTATTCTGCTAAGGATTGTTTTTACTATTCAGGGTCTTATTATTCCATATGCATTTTTGGATTGCTTCCTCTCATTAAAGAATGATGTAGAGATATTTATGGGCATTGTATTGAATTTGTAGATAGGCTTTGGTATTGTCATTTTCATGCTGCTAATCCTCCCAATCTAGGAGCATAGGAGGTTTTTCCACTTCCTTAGTTCTGCTTTAATTTACTTTTTCAGGTTTTTTGAAAGCTTTCATCATAGAGGTCCTGCAGTTCTTTGGTTAAGTTAATTCCTAGGTATTTTATTTTTTGGGGGGGGGGCTATTTTCTGATTTCAGCCTTGTTCTTCTCATTATTGGCAAACAAAAAAACCAAAATGAATTTTTTTTTTGGGTCCGGTCATGGGGCCTGAACTCTGGGCCTGGGCGCTGTCCCTCAGCTCTTTAGCTCAAGGTTAGCGCTCTACCCCTTGAGCCACAGCACCACTTCCAGCTTTTTCTTTTTCTTTTTTTTGCTTATGTGGTGCTGAGGAATTGAACCCAGGGCCTCAGGCATGCAAGGCAAGCGCTCTACCACTGAGCCACTTTCCAGCCCCCAAAATGAATTTTCAAAATGAAAATGATTTTCAAAATGAAAATGATTTTTCAAAATTAATTCTTTAGATACTAAAGATTTTCTAGTCCTTACATATTAGTTTTTTTGTTTACACCCTACCATCCTATTTACAGATATGTGTTTGTATGTATGTGTATATGTTTTAAAGTAATAAACATTACTAAGTGAATTCAATATGACTCTTATTTTTCTATTTTTGTTCCTGTAAGTGGTGATTCCAGATTTGTTAGGTTCTAATACCTTTTCACAATTCAGTGTTTTGTCTGTGTCTATCAAGGTGAATTTTTCAGTTTCATTTTCCATTAAAAACAGGTAGAATGGACAGGTGTTTTCTGTTTTGAAATTTCTTTTTCTTTTTGACATCTTGGAAATGAATGCTCAGGCATCTGTGAGATCTTGACATGTTTCATATACATATTGCTTGCTTTGGAAACTCATATATAACACTTTAAAAACAATGTCTGATTTCTCATGTTACTTTTGATTTTTGGTGATACTAGAATGTGTTGAGATCAAATGTACTTACTTATTTTTCTTTCTCAGTTGTTTCTGAGATGTTCCCCCCACTAGATCATTACATTTAGCTTTTTGGGGGAAGTTGAAATGCACATTTAGGGAAAATATTATTAAAATTAGGTGCACGCCAGTGGCTGGTGCTTCATGCTCATAATCCTAGCTAGTTGGAAGGCTAAGATCTTAGGATTGTGGTTTGAATCTAACCCAGACAGGACAAACCAGAGAGAGAGTCTTATCTCCAACAAAACATCAAAAAGTCAGAATTGGAGATGTGGCTCAAGTAGTACAGCACCCAGGCCCCAAATTCAAGCACCAGTACTGGTACACACACAAAAAAAAGTGCAATGAGGCATTAGATTCGTTAGAAATTAATTTAAAAGTTACTGTAATGGGGCTGGGAAGGTAGCTCAGTGGTAGAATGCTTACCTTGCATGCAGGAGGCTCTGGGTTCAATTCCTCAGTATCACATAAGTAGAAAAAGCCGGAAGTGGCGCTGTGGCTCAAGTGGTAGAGCGCTAGCCTTGAGCTGAAGGGCTGATGGACAGCACCCAGGCCCAGAGTTGAAGCCCCATGACCAACAAAAAAAAAAGTTACTGTAATGTAAAAATATAGTAAAAATTAAAAGTATAAGGAAGGCATGGTAGTATACATCTAAAATCTCAAATAGTTGGGATATAAGTAGGAAGAATGAGAGTTGGAGACCAGCCTGTGCTACCAAGTGAGACCTTGTCTTCAAAAAAAAAAACAAAAAACAAGGAATCACAGAAATGGTGAGACAGAGGACAAAGGGTGAACCAATACAACAGTGATACTTACAAGACACTATGTTGGAAATTCACTTTATAACTTGACGGGGAATGGAGTCAGGGGAAGGCAAAGCGGGGGAAAAATGAGGGAGGGGTAACACTGTTCAAAAAGAAATGTACTCATTACCTTACTTATGTAACTAACCCCTTTGTACATCACCTTTGCAGTAAAAAAATGGAGCAGAAAAAAGCACAGGTAAAACAAAACAAGGACTAGGATTGTTCCTCAGTAATATAGCACTTGCTTAACATATACAGGCTCTGGGTTTGATCCACAACACCAAGCAAGCAAATGGTTAGTAGATAGGAGTGGGAGAGAGTAAAATATTAAAAACAAGAAACTTAAGAGGGAAACAGGGACATTTTAAAATTTTTGATTTTTTTAAAGCTCTTATTGCTTACTTCTCCAAAAATGGAGTAGAAATCGATGAGTTTATTCTTTATTTTTTAATTAATTAATTTTTGTTGGTTGTGGGGCTTGAACTCTGGTCCTGGGCACTGTCTCTGAGCTCTTCAGCTCAAGGCAAGTGCTCTGCCACTTGAGCCACAGTGCCACTTCAGTTTTCTGGTGGATAATTGGAAATAAGAGTCTCACAGACTTTCCTGCCCAGGCTGGCTTTGAACCACGATTCTCAGATCTCAGTAGCTAGGATCTGAGTAGCTAGGATTACAAGTGTGAGCCACTGACATCTGACTTTTTTATTTTGATGAAAATATTTTAATTTTTGGAGTCTTAGCAAACAGAACTTGATAATATACAAAGCCAGCATTTATTACCAGATGGAAGAATGCTACAAAGGGTATCTCTGCATTCCTCTGAAAGTTAGAAAGACCATTACTGTCATCCAGTCCCATTCTGCTCCCAGTGCTCCATTTTAGTGGACCAGTGGATACAATATATAATTTTTGTGGTAGTACTGGGGCTTGAACTCAGGGACTTATACTCTCACTTAACTGGTTTTGTTTAAGGCTGCCATTCTATTGAGCTACTGTTCCACTTTTGGCTTTCTGCTGGTTAGTTGAAGATGAGTCTTACAGACATTTCTTTCTGGTCTGATTTCAACCACAATCTTTATTCCTCAGGTCTCAGCCTCTTGAGTAGCTAGGATTACATTATTACATTATTAAATTATGTTTGCCTTCAGCAAACATATGTATATTTTAAGTTCCTAAATGTAGCAATTCATGGTAAATGGCTGTTAGTATCCTCTAGTAAATCAGTCTCAAGTTGAAAAAACAATAAAGAAAAATTAAAAATTTCTGTATGATTGAAATGCTTTTTTGGAGATATAATTCACTGACAATTAAAATGCATCATGTTTGAAAATTCAGTATTTCTAGCATATTTGCAGAACTGAGCACTTATCACCATATTTAATTCTCAAATATTTTTATTCTCAAAATTAACTGTTCTTATGCTCTCTCCTTTTTTTTTTTGTCAGTCATGGGGCTTGAACTCTGGGCTTGGGCGCTGTCCTTCAGCTCTTCAGCTCAAGGCAAGCACTCTACTGCTTGAGCCAGAGTCACTTCTGGTTTTCTAGTGGTTTTATTGGAGATAAGTGTGCAACGGACTTTCCTGCCTAGGCTGGCTTTGAACTGCGATCCTCAGATCTCAGCCTCCTGAGTAGCTAGGAAAGCCGCCGTGCCCAGCTTTCTCTCCTTTTTCCCCTAAAGAATCTGAAAATGAATAGCTTTGCTTGTTTTGTTCTCTTTCTGAGACAAGGTCTCTCTGTGTGACCCAGGTTGGCTTTGAACTTGCTGTCCTCTTGCCTTAGCCTCCCAAGTACTGGAATCGCAAACATGAAATCTGCACCTGTGACTGTACTCTCCCCTTATAAAAAATATTTGAGCCAAATATTGCTTTATATAAGTTAAAGATGTATTTTTTGGAGTATTGGAGATTGAACCCAGGGCCTTGTATATGCTAGGCAACATTTCTATTGCTGAGCCACATATCCAGCCCTACAATTTGGTTTTGGATAATTGTTTTTTGTGTAGGTTGTGGGTTATGAACTCAGGGTGTAGGTGCTGTCCCATAGCTTTTTCCCCAATGCTAGCACATTATTACTTGAGCCACTGCTCTACTTCTAGCTATTTAGTGTGTAATTGGAATAAGAGTCTCATGGACTTTGCTGCCTGGGCTATGCTGGCTTACAGCCATGGTCCTCAGATATTAGTCTCCTGAGTAGCTGGGATTACAGAGGTTTGCCATAGGCTCCTCACTGAATAATGTTTTATAAGGATGATAAAAGATATTAAATAGTATGTACTGTTGGGTTTTCTATTCAATGTAAAGTGAGATTTTTATGACTGGATACTGAGTAATAGTGAAGGAACAATTGTGACTGTAAAATGTAGTTTAATTTAGAGTTGATCTGCTTTCCAGGGAATGCTGTAAACACACGGCTATTGAAGTGCATGATTCCAGCAACTCTAATAGCAGAGGATTCTGTGGTTAAGGCAGTCTCCTGGCTCTGTGTTGGCAAGTGTTCTGGTAGTATCAAGGTAATCTTTTTTAAACACTTCGATAAGTCCTTCAGACCCCACTTAAGGGTTGGCAAGGAAGAGCCACTTAGGGAGTAATGGCAGTGGCCTTTTGTGCAAAATCTGTGGTTTTGGAACAATGTGGTTTGATACAAAGACTCTGTTCAAACAGAAATTTTTACTCAGAAATAAAATCTATTCTTATACTTTGTGCTAGAAGCTTTAACACAGCTCTTCTGTACCAGTTATATTTCTCTAACGATAAACATTTTGTTTCTTGATAGGTACTTTTTTATCGTTGGCTGGTTACAATGCTTGACTTCATTGATCATAAGGAACAAATTAATTTGCTGTATGGCTTCTTTTTTGCTTCATTGCAAGATGATGTCCTGGTAAGTAAACATTGGACAGCGTCGAGCATCAATCAGATGGTACATTTGTGTATTTTGACACATCATAAATGTTTCATACTGTTATATAATATTTTCCTTATTTATTTAAAAGTATATAAAATATACATAAAATGCAAAGAATAACATATCAACCCTCTTTTCACCATCTGTAAGATTAACAGATATAAAACTTTACTATTTTTGCCATATGTCTTTTTTTTGCCAGGGCATGAACTCAGAGGTTGGTGGGGTCCTTTAGTTTTACCCCTCAAGGCTGGCACTCTACATCTTGAACCACACCTCTACCAGCTTTTTTGGTGGCTATTTGAAGATAAGAGTATCATGGCCTTTCCTACTTAGTTTGGCTTTAAATCTAGAACCTTATATTGCAGCTTCATGAATAACTAAGATTACAGGCAGGAGCCACTAGCACCCAGCTTATATGTCATCTTTGAAAGAAATGCAGATGTTATAGATAGGGTTAATTCCGCATTGGAATCTCTCTGTTAATCTAGAATAGTGATTATAATTTTTCCCCTTTGATCCACATTGGAATCTCTCTGTTAATCTAGAATAGTGATTATAATTTTTCCCCTTTGAATGACTTCAGAGTCCTTTGGGTCACTTACTCTACATTTTCTTGATTAACAGATCATCAGAATTAATGAGAAGGAGAGCATTGCTTTTCATGAATTATAAATGGACTGGTTTTGATCAAGTAACATTATTATTCCCATTAAAAACATTAGTAACTCTAAGAAATCAATCTACTGTCTACCTGGAAGACTTTCAAGGACCATCAATAGTTCATAGACCATGTGAGCCACTCAGCTAATTGAATTCCTTTTGCCTTTGGGAAAGAAATTCATTTCTTGATATCATTAAAAAAAATCATGCTCCTATGTGTTCCTTGCATTCTATCAGGCATTGTCTTTTTTTTTGGTCCGGTCGTGGGGCCTGAACTCTGGGCTTGGGCGCTGTCCCTCAGCTCTTCAGCTCAAGGCTAACGCTCTACCATTTGAGCCACAGCGCTGCTTCCGGCTTTTTTTTTCTGCTTACGTGGTGCTGAGGAATCGAACCCAGGGCCTCATGCATGCAAGGCAAGCACTTTACCACTGAGCCAACTTCCCAGCCCTCTATCAGGCATTGTAGAAGACTTAAATTTATCATGTTTCAGCAGACTACAAATTTAGAATCTAGTTATGGAATTAAATGAAAGCACATAAGGTTAAATAACCCTTCAAGTGTTAAATTATCAGACACAGTAAATGATAATATGAGGGTTTAACTGCTGTAGTATTTTTAAGAAAGAAGAGAATGCTGTAAATCAGAGTGATTACATAAAAGACCATAAGGGCCAAGTATAGTGGCATACATGCCTGTAATCCCAGGTAATTGGGTCATGGATACAGGAAGATCTTATTTCAAGGCCAACAGAATTTGTATTGCAAAAGTTAGCAAGACCCAGTCTCAAAAATAAGTTGGGTGTGGTGGTTTACACTTTTGGTCCTAGCTACTCTAGAGGCAGAGGTAGGATCTGGGTTTGAGGAGTTAGCATGGAAACCCTATCTAGAAAACAAAAATAAAAAGGACTAGGGGGCATGCCTCAAGTGATTGAGGGCTTGTCTGGTAAGTTGGAGCGTCTAAGTTCAATACCCAGCACAAAAAAGAAAAAAGAAAACAAATCATAAAGTATAGGAACATTGTAGTGAGCCTTGAAGGTTGAATACATTTGGAATTTGACGAGAAGAAATAATATTTGATAACATTAAGATTTCAGGCAAAGTTGTGAGATATGTAAAGTGTGTTTTAGGAGACCTTCAGTACGTCAGCCTGACGTAATTTGGAGTTGGTTTTGAGTAGTAATGGTTAGTAAGACTAAAAATCTTGGGTGGAGACAGATTGAAGAGGTTTTTCATTGTGAAATTCTCTATTCAGTGGAACAGTCACTGAAAAATTCTGAGTAGAGCTGGGTGCCGGTGGCTCACGTCTGTAATCCTAGCTACTCAGGAGGCTGAGATCTGAGGGTTGAGGTTCAAATCCAGAGTTGGGAGAGTCATGAGACTCTCCAGTTAATCACCAGAAAACTAGAAGTGGCACTGTGGCTTAAGTGGTAGAGAGCTCGCCTTGAGCTGAAGACCTCAGAGACAGCGCCCAGGCCCATAGTTCAAACCCCACAACCAACCGAAAAAAAAGAAAGAAAAGAAAAATTCTGAGTAGAATATGTTGAAAGCAGCTTTACAGGAAGCTGTATCTAGTCGTACTGAGTAATATGAATTAGAAGAGAGAATAGAGGCTGGAAGACTAGTTAGGAGGCTTGACATGGTAATCCAAATGGTATGGTGTGGAAGTCCTAGACTAGAAATTTTTAAGCCTGATCTGTGGACTCTGGGCCTTCTTGAGATGCTTTCAGGAGTTGTGAGGAGTCAAATTGTTTTCATAATAATACCAAAATATTATTTTGCTATTTTTACTCTGTTGACATTGGCACTGATAATATTAAAGAAAATGGTGGAAAAACTTCTGGCACTTTAGCACAAATAAGGAAGCAGCACTAAGCTGTATTAAAGGTCACTGTAGTTATCACTGCAGTAAAAAAATTTTAAAATGTGAGAGCATCACGAGAAAGTCATGGATGAATCAATTAATGGTAATCCTTTCCTTTAACTTTTCCCCTTTCCCTTTCTTATTGCTGGTATCATGGCTTGAACTCAATGTCTACCACTTTTGCTTGGCCTTTTTGCTGGTACCTGGGCTTGAACTTGGGGCCTTACCACTGTCCTTGAGCTTCTTTTACTCAAGGCTAGGGCTTTACCACTTGAGCCACAACACTACTTATGTTTTTTATCAATTTTTTTTTTGGAGATAAGACTCTCATGGACAATCCTGCCAGGGCTGGCTTTGAATAGTAATCCTCAAATGTCAGTCTCCTGAGTAGCAAGGATTATAGATGTGAGTCACAGGTGCCCAACTTATTTTTCTTATCTTGTTTGTTTGTTTTTGCTAGTCCTGGGGTTTGAACTCAAGGCCTGGGCACTGTCCCTGAGCTTCTTTTGCTCAAGATTAGAGCTCTACCACTTTGATCCACAGTTCCACTTCTGGCTTTTTCTGTTTATGTGGCACTGAGCAATTGAACCCAGGGCTTCATGCATGCTAGGCAAGCACTCTACCGCTAAGCCACATTTCCTATCTTTTCTTATCCTTTTTTGGCTGGGAAGTTGGCTTAGTGGTAGAGTACTTGCCTAGCATGCATGAAGCCCTGGGTTCAATTCCTCAGTGCCACATAAACAGAAAAAGCCAGAAGTGGAGCTGTGGCTTAAAGTGGTAGAGCTCTAACCTTGAGCAAAAGAAACTTAGGGACAGTGCCCAGACCATGAGTTCAAGCCCCAGGACTGGCAAAAAAATAATGTGTATGTATTTGTTACTATAAAGATGATGTACAGAGAGGCTACAATTTCATAAATTAGATAATGATTACATTTTTTGGACAATGTCAACATATTTTTAACCTTTTTAAGAATAATATTTACCAGAATATAACATACAAGTGGAAAACTGTCCATTTTGATTTGGGTGCTGGTGGCTCACATCTGACCCCTGCTAGAATAAGACCTGAACAGATGAATACTCAAAGTAAAATATTATAGAAGTGGTCATTCAATGGTTTAATTAGCAACTATGTTGAATGGGTGGTATTTCCCAATCTAAGGACTAAGTTGTTAGTAAATCATGTTACAAGACAGGCATGGGTGTTTCATGTCTATCATCTTAGCTTCCCAGGTAGCTGAGATCAGAGGATTGAGAGGTTTGAAGCCAGCCTAGGCAGAAAAGTTTGTGAGACTCCATCTATAATTATAACAAGCAAAATGGGAGACTGAAGGTATATGACTCACATGGTAGAGCACCATCTGTAAACAAGCAAATCAAGTAAGAGGACAATTCCCTGAGTTCAAGCCCTGGTTAATAGCACAAGAAAGTTAGTAATCTATATGGGCTAGGGTTATAGCTCAGTGGTAGAGTGTTTGCCCAGCTTTTACAAGAACCTGGGTTTGATCCCCAGCAACAAGAAGAAATTATGAATATGAGCTATAATTGAAAATAATAAATTCAAGACTAAATAACAAAATTATTTGAATGGAAAAATTAAGATAAAAGGCTTAGGTTTGTGTCTTAATAAATGTAGACTGGTATTGAAAGGAATGCATACAATGCAGAAGGAGGATAGGCATTTCTTTACCACTATTCAAATTGGCTGCACTGTTTTTACATTCCAAAAATAGCGAAAAATGGCCTGATAGGTTTTAGTTAAAACTACTGTTTTTTAATCATTGTTATGTAAAGGTTAAGCACATCAAATCTGAAACTCTGAAGTCTGAAATGTTTAAAAATCTGAATCTTCTTGTGTACCAACATGATACAAAAAATGCAAAATTCCATGCCTTATATATGTTATAGGTCACAGCCATAATACAGGACAACTAAAAATACTACATAAAATTCCCTTCAATTTGTGTATGTAAAATGTATATAAAACCAGGTACTGGTGGCTAATGCCTGTAATCCTAGCTACTCAGGAGATGGAGATTTGAAGCCAGTCCAGGCAGGAAAGTCTGTGAGACTCATCTCCAAGTAAATCACAGAATAAGCTGGAAGTGGTGCTGTGACTCAAGTGGTAGAGTGCTAGTCTTGAGCAAAAGGAACTCAGGGACAGTGCCCAGGACAACAGTTGAAATCTTGGAACTGGATTACAAAAAGTATATAAAACAAATGGAAAGCCAGGTGCCAGTGGCTCACACCTAGCTACTAAGGAGGCTGAGATCTGAGAATCGTTCAAAGCTAGCCTGGGCAGGAAAGTCCATGAGACTTTTTGTCTCCAATTAACCATCAGAAAACTGGAAGTGGCACTATGACTCAAGTGGTAAGAGCATGTACCTTGAGCTGAAGAACACAGGTACAATGTCCAGGCCCAGCGTTCAAGCCCCTTAACTGACACAAAAAACAAAAACCAAAACAACAACAAAAAAACAATACGTGGATTTTGTGTTTAAGCTTGGGTCCCATTCTTCATATATATTATCATATATATATTCACTTCTGTTCTTAAGTATTTCAGATAAGGGATGAAAAAAACTTTGTATAATTATTGTCCAATGAAGTCCTAAAGCCTTTTTTTAATCAGCATAAAATTGACATTTGGGGAAATATGTTGCTGTTTTGTTGAAGATAGATTGTCATTTCTCTTTTGAATTTTTTGTTTTAACAGTGTCCTTATGTCTGCCATTTGTTATATTTACTTACCAAGAAAGATAATGGTGAGTATTTTCATTCCAGTTATATTACATTCATTCTATAATTAGCATTTGTTTTGGCCTTTATAAAGAAACAATGAATATTAGCATTAGTTATATGACAGGACTCACGTTGTAGAAATGAATTTTCACTACTTTTGTCTAAGAGCAGCATCTGCTTAATAGCTTGAGAGTGTTTATATTGTTATGTGTTGTAAGAAGATAGGATATGAACTAAATGAAAGTTAAATATAACCTATCTCTTCTTTTTCTGAATCAAATCCATAGAATTCTTTCCTTTCCTTTTTCTAGTCAAACCATTTCGTGTGAGAAAATTGCTTGATCTTCAAGCCAAAATGGTGAGTACTGAAAAGACCTTAGACTTGCCAGTTGTATCATGTGCCAAGTCATAGGCTAAGCTTTGAAAACAGAAAGTCAGATGAGTTATTGTCTTTAAGAAACTTCCTTTCTGAGTTACTCAGTCAATAAAAAAAGAGAGTATGAGGTGTAGCTCAGTGATACAGTGCTTGCCAAGCATGCTCCTGATGCTGAGCTCTATCCTCAGTATCAAAGAAAAATTAGAATTAGACTCAGGGTCAAGGAGAAGTAATGATGATTGAGAGAAATTTGAACGGATGAATAAAATTTAATAGACAAAGAAGGAAAAGTAGAGGACTCCCATCTAAGAGGACCACATGAGTGAACAGATGTATATGTCAAATTGCCAATTGTTTAAGGAACTAGGTCGTAGGGCTAGAATGGTAAATTAGAGAGTGGCTAGTGTTAACAGTTTTTAACAGGTTTTTTTGTTTGTTGGTTGGTTGGTTGTGGAGCTTGAACTCTGGGCTTGGGCACTGTCTCTGCACTCATTAGTTCAAGGCTAGCTCTCTATTGCTTGAGCCACAGTGCCACTTCCAGTTTTCTGGTGGTTAATTGGAGATAAAAGTCTCATGGATTTTTCTCCCCAGGCTGGCTTTGAACTGTGATCCTCAGATCTCAGCCTCTGAGTAACTAGGATTACAGGCATGAGCCACTGGCACCTTGCAGTTTTTGACAGTTTTATGGATGTATCTAGGAAAGCATTTCAAGATGATTTCTTTTAGAAACTAGAACTTTAATATACTTGGTTGGTAATTATCTCTTGTCCTTACAGCTCTCTTGAGTTATTTTTGTTATACTTACCAGGTAATAGATGTCCATGAAGCTTTGGATATTAAACACTTAGTAGTAGTATCCATGCATAACTAGCCTCTCTTAAGGCATTTGCATAGTTCAGTGATTAATATTGTTTCATAACTTCCTATTTGCATCCATGGTTACAATATTTTCTCCTAGTTCTCTGAAGATATTAATGGTGATATTTTTGTCCAACTTGATTTGTATTTTACATTAGTAAAATTTGAGATGTACATTTTCTTACCTTAGAGTAAAACATTTCAGTGGATTTAGAAAATTCTTACTGTAATATAAGATGTTGATGCTATCAGAATTCCCCAATTCACTAAAATTCAGCCTATTTAATCATTATTATAAATATATTTTTATAAATGGCTCAAGTGGTAGAATGCCAGCCTAGTAAGCATTTGGCCCTGCCAAAAAATTAAAAGAATGTAAGCTGGGTGCTGGTGGCTCATGGCTTTAATCCTAGCCACTCAAACAGGTGAGATATGAGGATTATGGTTAAAGTCAGCCTGGACAGAAAAGTACATGAGACTCTTATTTCCAATTAGCTAGCAAAAAAACCAGAAGTGGAGCTGTGACTCAAGTGGTAGGGCACCAGCCTTGAACAAAAAAGCTAAGAGAGAGTGCCCTGGTCCCAAGTTCAAGCCCAATAATATCACACACAAAAATCAATGTTATTTTAGAAGACTATTTAAGGAATATAATCATACTCCATATAATGTTTTGGTCAACAGAGGCCTATAGATACGTGCTGTATGCCATAGAGCTGAAGTGTGTAACACACTTCATTCTACCATTTTTCACAATGATGAAATTGTCTTTTAATGCATTTTTTTTTCTCTTTTGGTCAGTCATGAGGCTTGAATTCTGGGTCTGGTCATTGTCCCTGAGCTTTTCAGTTCAAGGTGAGCACTCTGCCATTTGAGCCATAGTACCACTTCTGGTTTTCTGATGGTTTATTGGAGATGAGAGTCTCACAGACTTTCCTGCCCAGGCTGGCTTTGAACCACGATCCTTAGATCTCAGCCTCCTTAGTGGCTAGGATTACAGGCGTGAGCCACTAGCACCCAGCTTAATGCATTTTTCTTAATGTTTCCCTGTTGATTTTTAGTATTTTAGTTTGTTAGCATACAGACATAATAGATTTCATTGTGATAAATCTATACATCATGTAGTATACTTTGAACAAGGTAACCTCCTCCATTATATTCCCATACTTCCCTTGCCACATCCTACCTTTCTCAGACAGTGGTGGTTGTCATTATGTTGTCTTATGTATGTATGTGTATGTATGTAATATCCTTTGATCTTCAATCAATTTCCTTTCACCCTCTCCCTTCGAATGATCCTCCACAATTTTAGGTGTACATTCCACAAATGAGTAAAAACATATTTGACTTTGTGAGCTTGGCTTATCTTACTCAAAATAATGGTCTCAAGTTCCATCTACTTTCCTGCAAATGATGGCTCTGTAATAGTTTATGTTTTTTATTTGCCATATTTTCTTTATTATTCACCAATTGTTGAGCCCATTGGCTGATTCTGCAGGCTAGCTATTGTGAACAGAGCTATAATAAACATGGATAAGCAAGTGTCTCTCTTGTCTATTGATTATACTCCTTTGATACATGCCCAAGAATGGTTCCTCATTATTGTTTAGCTGGATATGATTACTGTATTTCTAAGCCCTATTTGCTGTAGTGTTCCTTTCAATAATATTTTAATATAATTAAATCATTTGCTTACTAATTTTTTTTGTCAGTTGTGGGGTTTGAACTCTGATGCTGTTCCTGAGCTCTTCTGCTCAAGGCTAGTGCTCTCCAACTTGAGCCAGAGTGCCACTTCTGGTTTTTTTTGGTGGTTTATTGAAGATAAGTGTCTCACGGTCTTTCCTGCCTGATCTGGCTTTGAACCTGGATCCTCAGATCTCAGCCTCCTAAGTAGCTAGGATTACAGGCACAAGCTACCAGCTTTCGGCTTGCTTACTAATTTATAATTCATTTAATGGAATATTTTATTTGAATATCCAGCTTTATATTGTGAAGTTAATATTTTTGTTAATACTCAAGTGATGACAAGCTCTTTGACTATTGTGTACCAATGATGAGATTTCCTGGTTAATTTTCAGGATTTATGATGATCAGGTATGAAGTTAAAATTTTATCTACTCTGTTTTGTTGGCTTCCTTTTTGACCCTCCTCCTTGATGTTTAAGTATGTTAATTATGATGTTAAATATGTTCACAGTAAAAAGAAGCTAAACTGTGTTAGCAAGTTTGACTATTAAGACTAATGTATGTTCTATAGTTATATGGTTATATAGTTCTATAGTTATATGGCTGGATACGTGTGTGTGTGTGTGTGTGTGTGTGTATACACACACACACACACACACACACACACACACATTTCCCTTAGGGAATGGGATATGAATACTTATTTAGTACCAGCAAATTGCTGTTTGTTGTCTTCTTGGTATTTGTTTTCTTGGTTTCTAATTAGCTACAGAATTGAAAATGGAAACTCTTATTGCAGGGAATGCAGCCACATCTGCAGGCTTTGTTGTCGCTGTATAAATTCTTCACCCCTACTTTGATTTCTGTATCTTTGCCTGTAAGGAAGAAGGTAAGGGATTTCATAGAAATCAGTCCTATAGAGATTAAAATTATTTTTGTTAATTTTCAGATTTTGGCTAAAATAGTTACAGCCTAGTATTTAGTATAATGTTATAACACTATTTGGGGGAAATTTTATTAGGATCAGCACTTTGAGTTGATCATATTCAATAAAAATAATAGATTACTGATTATAAAAATTAAATGGATCTATAAGGGTACAAAATATTTCGTAATATGTTTTCACTTAAGATATTTTAGTCTTTATGTTGCTCTGCCTTAGAGGTATCAACTCTCTTGTATTTTACATCTATATTTATAGATCTATTTTAAGACCTCAGAGAACCCATGGACTTCAGCTTTGATAGCTGTGAGGCAGAGAAACCAGAGACCTTCTGTAGGACCTTTAAAACTGACATTAGGTCCAGATAATGGCCCTAATGTAAAAAGAGTAAGTATCTAAAGCCCAAAATGATGTGTGGCTTTCTTTTGTTAAATCTAAGAACAATTCAGGTACTAGAGATTATAAATATTCAAATGCCTTTTCTGCTGGGCATGATGGTATATACCTGTAATCCTAGCTACTGTGGAGGCAGAAATCAGGATTGCACATTGAAGCCAACCCAGGTAAAAAAAATTACACCCCAATCTCAACAAAAAAGCTTACATTAGGCACTGGTGGTTCATACCTACTTACTCAGGAGGCTGCAATCTGAAAATCATAGTTCAGAGCCAGCTTGAGACTCATATCTCAAATAGTAAACTATAAAAAGACAGAAGTGGAAATATGGTTCAGGTGATAATGAGCCAGTTATGGATGAAAACATCAAACAAGTACAAGGCTTTGAGGTCAAGCTCCAGGACTGGTACAAAAATGAAAATTAAAAAGTTGAATGTGATGGTGGTGGTACAATCTATAATCTTGTTACATGGGAGAGATAGGTAGGATGATTGAAGTTCAAGGCTGACCCCAGAAAAAACAAAAGGACCTATCTAAAAAGCAAAAAAGGCAGTAAGTGTGACGAAGCGGGTAAAATTGATTAGAATCCAGTATAAACTTGTGGCAATCAATATAACAGTGAATCCCTGTATAACTAATATAGTCTAATAATAAAGAATATAAAAAGCAAAAATGGGTTGGGCCTGCTGAAGTGCACTTGAGTCCCTGAATTCAGTCTCTAGTACTATATTCATTGAAACATTTTAACAGTTGCTTTTAATATTTTTAATTTTAATTTTTTTTGTGCTGGTACTGAGCTTGAACTTAGGGCTTCATACTGTTTTTTGCTTAGCTTTTTTTCTGGTACTGTACAACTTCAGCCATACCTCCACTTTGGGCCTTTTACTGGTAAACTGGAAATAAGATTTGTCTGCCTGGGCTGGCTTCAAATTGGGATTCTTAGATCTCAGCCTCCTGAATAGCTAGTATTTCATGTGTGAGCCACTGGTACGTGGTTTACAACTGCTCTTATATTTATAATTTGTAGCCTGTGAAGTCCACTGCTATATTGTTCTGTTATCTTTTCCCATTAGAAATGGAATTCTCACTCACTTATACCAGTGCTAAATTCTGGTACCTACGCTAGAGAATATGGGAAAAGAGAGATGAGTCTTTCTGATTATCTCAATCGCAATAGATCCCTCCCAGTTGAACAACTTCAAAGTTTTCCTCAACTTTTACAGAATATCCATTGCTTAGAGGTATGTGACTAGACTATGTGCTTATTTGCATTTTCTATTTGATTTTTTTGTTGCCTTTTTTTCTATTTCCTATATGATTTTTTTTGTTGCTGTGACCCATTTTCATATACTTACTTTTGGCTGATCCATCTTTTCAGCTGCCTGCTCAGATGGGCTCAGTGCTAAACCACCCACTCCTTCTTCACTATATTAACTGTGTCAGAGACGAGTCAATCTTACTGAGGCTGTATCACTGGTTGAGTCAAACATTACAAGAAGGTAAGAACTCATATTTAACAACATGAAGATAGACTGAGATATTTTATAAATGGGTTTCTTTGTTTGTGGTTGTGAGACTTGAACTCTGGGCCTGGGCACTGTCCCTCAGCTTTTCAGCTCAAGGCGAGAGCTCTACCACTTGAGCTACAGCACCACTTCCGGTTTTCTGAGTCATTTATTGGAGATAAGAGTCTCAAGGACAGGCAGGCTTTGGACAGCTGGCTTTGAACCGTGATCCTCAGATCTCAGCCTTCTGAGTAGCTAGGATTACAGGTTTGAGCCACCAACTTTATAAATGGCTTTTTTTTTATATGGGTGCAAAATTCTAGATAAGAGGAGCCTCTTATTTAGAATTGTTACATATAATTATTTGCCTGGACATAGCAGGGATGACAGGTATACACCACCATACCCAGCTTCTTCTGTTGAGATGAAGTCTAAGTCTCAGGTTTTTCTACTCAGGCTGTGGGGGGGGGAGGTCTACTCAGGGTGTGTGTGTGTGTGTGTGTGTGTGTGTGTCTCAGGCTGTGGGGGGGTCTACTCAAGGTGTGTGTGTGTGTGTGTGTGTGTGTGTGTGTGTGTGTGTGTGTGTGTGTGTGTGTGTGTGTGAGGGGCTTGGGCTTGAACTGACAGCCCCATGTTCTGGCTCTCCTTCCTTGTATGTTAGGGCTTGAACTCACAGCCCCATGTTCTGGCTCTGCTTCCTTGCTTACAGGCTGACATTGATCACTTGATGTCTCCCGTCTATTTTTTTGGTTAATTGACAATAGAATCTTGTACTTTTGTTTTTTAACACTAGTTGGCTTTGAACTGTGATCTGCTAAGTCCCAGCTTCCTGAATAGCTAGGGTTACAGGCATGGAATTTGTTAACCACTTTTATATTATACTGAAATTAAAGTTTTCAGTTTTCTCAAGTTTTTCTGTTTTTTGTTGGTCATAGGGCTTGAACTCAGCCTGGATGCTATCCCTAAGCTCTTTTGCTCAAGGCTATAGCCCTACCACTTTGAACCATAGCACCACTTTCGGTTTTCTGGTGGTTCATTGGAGATAAGAGGTTCATTGGGAATTTTCTGCCAGGGCAGACTTCAAACCACAATCTCAGATCTCAGTCTCCTGAGTAGCTAGGATTACAGGCATGAGCCACTGGCACTTGGCCACTTGTGTTCTTAATAGCAACATTTTTTTGGTTGTTGGTCATGGGGCTTGAACTCTGGGCCTGGGCTTGTCCCTTAGCTCTTCAGTTTAAAGTGAATGCTGGGGCTGGGAAGGTAGCTCAGCGGTAGAGTGCATACCTTGCAAGCATGAGGCCCTGGGTTTGATTCCTCAGCACCACATAAACAGAAAAAGCTGGAAGTGGCGCTGTGGCTCCAGTGGTAGAGCGCTAGCCTTGAGCTGAAGAGCTGAGGGACAGCGCCCAGACCCAGAGTTCAGGCCCCATGACCGGCAAAAAAAAAAAAAAAGTGAATGCTATACCACTTGAATCATAACACCACTTCCAGTTTTCCAGTGGTTAATAGGAGATAAGAGTCAGGGAAAAAAGTCTTAGGAACTTTCCTCCCTGGGATGACTTTGAACTGTGATCCTCATATCTCAGCCTCCTGAGTAGCTAGGATTACAGGTGTCAGCCACCAGTGCCTGGCTAGCAACATTTTTTTGAGGTAAGAACTCACTATATAACTCAGGCTGGCCTAGAACTCATGATCCTCTTGCTTCATTTTCCTAAGTATTGGGATCACAGAAAGTACCACCAGCAATCACAAAGATTTTCTGAATGTCAGATATGGTCTAGCAAATGGACTATTTATTACAGGTATGAGCCACTGGTGCCCAGTTCAAGTTTTTAATTCATGAATTTTAGTCTTATGGGTTACTGTGTAACACAAAGCTAACACTTTCATTCTAAGTGAGTTTTGTGTTATCTTTTACAGTAAGCTCTTTCCTATGTTACCATGTTTTTGAGAACATCTTCCTATCACCTTCACATCTCTGTTACAAACTTTGGTACAAGCTAGCTAAGACATGTGAGACTTAGAATTTCTTAAATTTGGTCATTTACTTGTCACTTGAGCATAGTTTTAATTATACTTCACGTACACTATTATTTTGCAACTAGATGCTTATTTTTATTCTTTCGGCTCTAGAGTGTCTTTGGTATAAGAAGAACAATTATGAACAGGGAGAAGAATTTATGAACCTCCTGGACACTGTCATCAGGGCACAGTGCTTCTTACAAGTAAGATTTCATATGTTTCCTACACACTTCATCACCCTTTACTAAAGTTTATTTAGATGTCCATCCAAAACCTTTTATACAGTACCTAATATTTTGTAAACATGCTTGCTTACTTTGAAACTCATTGCAAATAGAATCTACAACCTAATTGGAATGGTGCTTATCTTTATGCTATTAGGTTTTTGAACATAGCACATTAATTTGCAAATCAATAATTTAAGAGAACAAACCTTTCAATTAATTGAATTAACCGGGAAAGTAAATCATGTAGGATTACCATTTGTGTTCTTTGTTTTTATTTTTTTATTTTATTTTTTGTCAGTCATGGGACTTGAACTCAGGGCATGGGCACTGTCCCCGAGCTTTTGTGCTTAAGTCTAGCACTCTACTACTTTGAGCCACAGCGCCACTTCTGGTTTTCTGGTAGTTAATTGTAGATAGGAGTCTCATGGACTTTGCTGCTTGGGCTGACTTCAAACCATGATCCTCAGATCTCAGCCTCCTTAGTAGCTAGGATTAGAGGCATGAGCCACTGGCACTTATCTACTTGTGTTCTTAATAGCAATGTTTTTTGAAGTAAGAACTCACTATATAGTTCAGTCTAGCCTAGAACTCATGATCCTTTTGCTTCATTGTCCTAAGTTTTGGGATTATAGGAATGTGTTACCACATCCAGCAACCACAAAGATATTTGAATGTCAAATATGGTCTAGCAAATGGACTTTTAACGTGAGTAACCAACCCTCAGTGATTTTAAATAGCATTTCATGTATCAGTACTGTCCAGGAGCTTTATGAAAAACTTACTCCTTGTTTTATATACCTCTATTGCTGCCTATTCTTCTCTTTATTGGGATGCTTCCAGCACCCAATTTCTCACATGTTTTGAACTCCCAGAAGGCAGAAGCCATATCTAACTTTTCTTCATGTACAAGTACTAAGCTTGGTACCTAGTACAAAAAAGATGCTCAGTCAGTGTTTATTCATTGCATCTGAGTGATTATAGTAGGATAGAGGAAGCAGTGTTAGGTGATATATAGGTTTCTTGCTTAGGAAGATGAATAGTGTTCACTGAGAAAAAGAATATAGGAGGAACAGGAATGGAAGGAAAAATAAATTTGATTTAAACAATACTTGTGAGGTATCATAGCCAGTAGGTAGTAAGATGAGTCTAGAGCTCAGAAGTAAGATTTGGGCTAAAGATAGAGATTTAGGGCTCATCATTTTTTTGGGGGGGGTCCAGTCGTGGGGCCTGAACTCTGGGCCTGGGCGCTGTCCCTCAGCTCTTCAGCTCAAGGCTAGTGCTCTACCACTTGAGCCACAACGCCACTTCCGGCTTTTTTGTTTTTGCTTATGTGGTGCTGAGGAATTGAACCCAGGGCCTCATGCATGCAAGGCAAGCGCTCTACCACGGAGCCACCTTCCCAGGCCCAGGACTCATCATTTAAAGGTGTAGATTTTAGTCTTGATATGGATAACGTTGTCCAAAGAATTTGTCACAAAATGAAATTGTGGGACAGAGTTTTTATATATGCCATACTTAAGGCTGAAAGGAAATAAAGGGAAGCTCTGGGTCCTTAATCTAGTGGAAATATAAGTAACCTAGACACTAGAAACTCTGTCAGACTTTGCATTTGGTTTATGGCTGCTAATGAAATTCTAGCCCCCTTAAATAACTTTCTACACATTTTATTGGCTGTTCAATTTATTGTATATATTCTACAATAATGTTTAGTATGTATGTATGTATTTATTTATGTCAGTCATGGGGCTTGAACTCTGGGCTGGTCATCTCTTAAGCTCAAGGCTAGTTCTCTACCACTTGAGCCACAGTGCCACTTCTGTTTTTTCTGGTGGTTGATTGGAGATTAGAGTCTCTGCCCAGGCTGGCTTTGAACTGTGATCCTCAGATCTCAGCCTCCTGAGTAGCTAGAATTACAGGTATGAGCCACCAGCGCCTGGCTGTTTCATTTATTTTTAAAATGTTGGTTATTTTTTTATCTCCTTCCCACTTGTTGAGCTTTATAGTGTTTGGACTCTTAACAAAGATGGTAATATATTGAAATACTAATCTTCTCATCTTTTGTTGTTGGTTATGGGGCTTGAACTCTGGGCCTGGGTGCTGTCTCTCAGCTTTTCAGCTCAAGGCTAATGCTCTACCACTTGAGCCACAGTGCTACTTCTGGTTTTCTGGTGGTTTATTAGAGATTAGAGTTTCACAGACTTTCCTGCCTGGGCTGGCTTTGAACTGCAGTCCTTAGATCTCAGTCTCCTGAATAGCTAGGATTACAGGAATGGGCCACTGGTGTCCTGCTCTTCTCATCTTTTTACTGAGAAAAGTTTGGTACTTATCTTAAGGTTTTGAGTATATCATTGACAAAATTTGGTCTTAGAATGGATTAACTATAATACAAAAGAAACTGGCCCTGTAAGAAGTAATGATTGAAGAGTCCCATGTAAAGCTGTATTAATTAATGTTTCAGGAGGGGTTTTATTCCTGTGAAGCATTCCTGTATAAAAGCTTTCCTCTCTGGGATGGAATCTGTTGCCGATCACAGTTTCTGCAGCTCATGAGCTGGATTCCTTTTAGTAGCTTCTCTGGTATGTATCATAAAAACTGGAGTCATTTAATTCCGTGTAAATAACTGAGATGATTCTGAGTAATCTTGTATTTTTTAATTCCTAGAAATAAAGCCACTTCTATTTGACCATCTGGCACCTCTCTTTTTTACTTCAACTGTTTATTTCAAGGTAAAGCAAACAACCCCCATCTTGATCACTCTTAGTAAGAAGTATTATTCCATTACCAGTGATACATGATTTCAAATGTATATTTTAGCAGTGCTTTTCTTTTTAAATTTTTTCTTTTATTTTTATTATGATGGTGATATACAGAGGGGGTTATAGTTACATAAGTAAAGAGTACATTTTTTGACAATGTCACCCCTTCCCTTGCTTTCTCCCTATTTCAGCAGTATTTTTTATTGTAAAGGTGATGTCCAGAGGGGTTATAGTTACATAAGTAATGTAATGAGTACATTTCTTTTTGAACAGTGTTACCCCCTCCTTCATTTTCTCCTTCAGCAGGGCTTTTTTAACTGATTCTTTCAGACCTGGGCTTTGAGATACTGCATTACTCAATTCAAAGTTAATCATAGTATTTTCTACATATTTTTGGTGGGCGTTTTTGGTGGTTACTGGAGTTTAAACTTAGGGTCTTTTCACTTGCTAGGAGGGCTCTATACTGCTGAACTACACTTCTAGCTTTTTTGTGCTGGTTATTTTTGTGAAAGGATCTCAGTTTCTGTCTAGGTATGTACTGGGACACTGATGCTATCTTTTTGCTTTCTGCTGTAATTGGGATGATAGACCTTGTCACCACTCCCAGTAACTTCCACTAAAGTAGAATCTTGAATACTTTGATGCTTTGACTCCTAGAGTAACAATCTTCCTGAACTCAGTCTTCTAGCGTACCTAGGATGACAGGTGTCCAGCTATTGGTTACCGTTCTATGCCCAAGCTGGCCTTGAGCCTCAATCCTCCAAATTTCAGTCTCCCAAAGTAGGTATGTTTACATGTGTGATTCTGTACATGCCTGTGGGAATATAGTAGTGCCAAAGCAAAAAAGCTTCCTGTGACATTTATATTGAATATCTTTTTTGGGTCTGGTCGTGGGGCCTGAACTCTGGGCCTGGGTGCTGTCCCTCAGCTCTTCAGCTCAAGGAAAGCGCTCTACCACTTGAACCACAGCACCATTTCTGGCTTTTTTCTTTTTGCTTATGTGGTGCTGAGGAATCGAACCCAGGGCCTCATGCATGCAAGGCAAGCGCTCTACTACCGAGCCACCTTCCCAGCCCCAGGAGAAAAGTTTTCTATACTTCAAAATTAACAGAAAAAAGTAGAGCTGGAAGCAAGCAGTCTCAAGTAGTAGAGTGTCAGCCTAGCAAGCTCGAGGCCCTGTGTTTGAACTCCAGTCCTGCCAAAACTAATAATAATAATAGAGTACTTGGAACCGAGAGTATGAAAAAGCAAGAGGTATAGCACACACACACACACACACACACACACACACAACACACACACACACACACACACACACACACACACACACACACACACACACACACACACACACACACACACACACACACACACACACACAGAGTCCTGGGACTTGAACTCATGGGACTTGAACTCAGAGCCTGGGTGCTATCCCTAACCTTTTTTGTTCAATTTAGTGTTCTGCCACTAGAGCCACAGCTCCACTTCTTGCTTTCCGGTGAATAGTTATAGATAAGAGTCTCACAGATTTACCTGTCTTGACAGATTTGAACTGTGTTCCACAGATCTCAGTATCCTGAAGTAGTTAAGATTATAGGCATGAGGCACTGGCACCTGGCTTGAACATATTTTTAACGTTAATATATGGTGTCAATTTTTTTTCCAGAGTTTGGAATCACAGCTTATAATTGCTTGCTTGCTTGCTCTGCTCTGCCACTTGAGCCATGCCTATAGCCTAGTTTTTGCTGATTATTTTGGAGACTGAATCTCATAGGCTTTTCTGCCTAGTCTAGTTCAAACTGCATTCCTCCAGGTCTCAGCCTCCTGACTAGCTAGGATTTGGCATGAGCTACTGGTGCCTATCATAACTGTATTTGTTTATATGTGAATAAGGCCCTGGGAAATTAAGAAAAGGGCTGAGAAAGGAAAGATTAGAATTGTCACATTATTATTCTGAAAAAATAGAGTAACTTGTAGTTGTGGACCCTAGGGTAAAAAGAGTGGGAAACTCTTAGCACATTTTTTAGCACCTTTTTAAATAATGGAAGGGACAAGAAGTTTAATGTTTTTATTTGATGATGTAATATTTGATTTAAAGAAATGTAATTCAGAGAAATGGCTGCTCCTAGGTTAAGTTGGGGAAGTCCTCTTGGAGAATTTCTTGTAGGGAATATAGGAAAATAAACTTGCATTGGTATCCACCTGTCTCCTGAGAACTGATGGGTTGGAGCAGCACCTATTGTAAGTTAGATGTGGTCATCTCCACAGTCCCTTCCACCTCTCATCTTCTTCTAGTTCTGAACACAAATTTGAATGATTTTATGAGTGACTTTTTTTGTTTTGTCTTGCCCTCAGTGTAGTGTTCTTCAGAGTCTGAAAGAACTGCTTCAGAATTGGCTGTTGTGGCTTTCTATGGACGTCCCCCAGAGTCCGATGACATGCAATCCTCTGTAAGTTGTCTCACTGTCCTCCTAGGAGATGATCAATACAAAATGTTTACATACGGTGTTTAATAGTGTGGCATGAGGCCTAATCCTTTCACATAAATTAGGAATTAACTAGGAATTTTCTGAAAGTTTTTTTTGTTATTTTTTACTCTTCCCCACAAGTCTGAGAGAAAGGTTAATTCAAGCTGTTACTATATAAAACAAGAAATTATCCTTTCTCCTGTAAGCAACTTGACAGAATTTAATATAGTAAAACATTGGAGAGCTGAGATTTGAATTTGCCACTTTCATTCAGTGTGACTCACTTTATAAAATGCATTTTTATATCCAAAACCAACTTGGAGGATGGTTAGAAGAATCTCCAAGGTAATTTTGCTGCACAACTATGTTTTTATGTTCTTCTTGTATATTTTGCCTATATGCATTAATTAGAGTTAAAAAAGAGCCTGATTTCTATTATGTAGATGCTGAATTTCTTTTCTTAATAATTTTTATTGACATTACATAATTACATAAATTTCACAAATTTCATAGTATTGTGGGATAGTGATATTTAGTTAAAGTCACAAACATATTTTAACCTTCACGAGGCACATTGTCATTATCATGGCCTATAAAATTTATGGACTCTACAAACTTTGACACTACAGCTCTTTCTTCCAAATTGGGTGATAGGTACATTTCTTTCCTTTTGCATAGTGTAAGTTGTTCCCTCTTTCTCTCATTCCCTCTCTCCCATGGCTGCCCATGTCCAGTGCAGCTGATGGGCCCCTCTGTTGTATTTTTTCCCATTTCCCTCTGATTCTGTGCCCTCCTCTTAGCTTCCCTCAGATGTGCACATGTATATACCATATATGAGGTCAAGTAGATGACTGAATTTCTGCATAATCTGATTGTTTTGACTTTTTCTGCCAAAGAACCTTTGGCTATTCCTATATTCTTTTATCAGCTATATCATCTCTTAGCACTTAAAAAACTTTATATTATAGAAACATATTAAAAAAGAAAAAAAAACTTTATATTATAGAAAACTGCAAACCTAATCAAAAGTAGAATAAATGGTACCATGTTACCCCTGGGTGCCTGCATCTAGTTTCCATAGTTGTCAATTCACAGCTAAACTTTGTTCACCTTCCACTTGAATTATTTTTAAGCAAAACTCAGATACCATTTCAGTTATTAAAAATGTACCATTATGATACCTAAAAATCAATATTTATTAGTATCTTTATATCTAACAATGTTCAAATACCCCTAAGTTTTGGTTGCAATGTGGAAAAATTGTTCAAATTCCCTTTATAGTTAAAAAAATGAGCTCAGGCCTGCATATAGGCACGCATATTTGTATGTGTGTGTATATGTGTGTGTGTGTGTGTGTGTGTGTGTGTGTGTGTGTGTGTGTGTGTGTGTGTGAGCTCAGGCCTGCATATAGGCACGCATATTTGTATGTGTGTGTATATATGAGTGTGTGTGTGTGTGTGTGTGTGTGTGTATACATTTTTGTGCTAGTTCTGGGCTTGAACTCAGGGCCTGGGCACTGTCCCTGATCTTTTTTGCTCAAGTCTAGCGGTCTACCACTTGAACCACAGCTCCTCCTCTGGCTTTTTTTTGGTGGTTAATTAGAGATAAGAGTCTCATGGACTTTTTCTGCCCAGGGTGATTTCAAACTACGATTGTAGATCTCAGCCTCCTAAGTAGCTAATATTAAAGTCATGAGCCACTGGCACGCAACTAGGCCTATGGTTTTATTCCTCTAGCGATCTGTAATGTCGGTGGAGTGGAGAATAGAGGCTCCTTGAGGGTATGTAAATTGTTTTTAATTTGTCATATTCATTGCTGTAATGTTTCCAAATATGTCTGGTCACTTTTAGAAGGAAATACAACATTGGTGGGTAGTGAGGACCTTTTGTACAGATTCTCAGGCTCTTTCTTAGCTCTATTGAGTTAAACTCTAGAGCTATCCCAGCAATCTGAGTTAACATCTCTACAATTCTGGTGGAAGCTGAAGTTTAAGAACCACTATTGCTAAGAAATTCTATTAAATATAGTATGCTTGGATCTATAACATTAGGTCAATTAGGCAATGGAAGTCTCTGGTATGGTACAGTTTCTATATATCATTCCAAAAATTATGGGTTCCTTCTTTATTAGTGTCATAAATTTGAGGAGAATATCTAAAAAGGAGTAATGTTTTCTAAAATCCATAAAATTATTACACAGATAGTTAACTTTACTTGTCACAATAGTATTTGCAATTATACAGTATAGCTTTTCAGTTGTTATTTCCTTTTGGAGATATGGATGTGATGTTGTATTTCTGTTGTATGACTGGCCAAAAGGTTGAAGTTATAGATCACCAGAAGAAAGGGGTAGAAAACTGTCCTCAGCAGTGGTTCCCCAGGGACATTTCTGGTTGTCACAATGACAGGAAGGAGAGTGCTATCATCATTTAATAGGTAGCTTCTAAGGAAGCTTAATGTTCTGCAGTAAGTGGGGAGTTAGGGATAGTCCTGAACAATGAATTGATTTATCTAAGGTACCAGTAGTTTCCTGTGGAGAAATACTTTAAAATTAGAAGTTATAAGTCTGGTTGTTGTTCTATCATACAATACTTGCCTAGCATGAATGAAGGATCTGGGATGGATCCCCAACATGACAAAAAGAAATGTTGTGAGCAGTAATCATTATTTTTAAGCTATTTGAGACTTCTTTGTTAAATCTTGCCAAAATTCATAGTTAAATATCAGTTTGGGAGTGCCACGTATCAGTAGTTCATGCCCATCATCCTAGCTACTCAGGAGGCTGAGATCATGGTTTGAAGTGAAGTTAGGCTGAGCAGGAAAGTCTGTGAGACTTGTTTCTAGTTAACCACTAAAAAGCCAGAAGTGGAGCTATGGTTCAAGTTGTAGAGCACTCACTTAGAGCAAAAAAGATTAGGGACAGTGGCCATGCCCTGAGTTCAAGCGTAGGCTTGAACACACACACATCCATTTTGGAAGTAGCCAGCTAATGTATGGATGCTGCCCAGTTCAACAGTCTCCGAATCCTTCCCTACTTGTTTTCATACTGACTTATTATGACAATGGGTCCTGGTAAATTAATCATCAATCTCTCAAGCTCTGCAGCTGTATATTATTCCATATGTTTTTTGTGTACAACCATTGTTGACCATCTAAATCAATGAGTAAAAGATTTCACATATGTAGGTCTTTCCTAAATCTATTTAAGAATGAATTGGAAGGCAGGAGTGAGACAGAGATGGATTGAACTACTTCTTTTAGGCCCTGTGTGATTTAGAAAAACTCTGTTCAATGATTTACAGAGAATATAAAATATCTTGATTTAGTTATTACTAAAAGAATGAAAAATGTCCCCACAATTGCTTAGTCATTTTCAGCACTGAATTGAACTCTGATCAAAGTATTTGTAGCACTATTTTTTTTTGTAGTGGGGTTTGAACTCTGCTCCTGGGCACTGTCCCTGAGAAATTCCGTTCAAGGCTTAGTGCTCTGCCACAGCGGCACTTCCAGTTTTCTGGTGGTTAATTGGAGATAAGAGTCTCATGGACTTCCTGCCCAGTCTGGCTTTGAACAGCGAACCTCAGATCTCGGCCTCCTGAGTAGCTAGTATTGCAAGTGTGAGCCACCGGCAACAGGTGATAGCAGTATTTTCAGAGGAGGAATTGAGAAACAACTGCATTTTGATTTGTGTTCTGAGTTTTCATTCAGTAGGCAGCAGTGCTGCTTGGTACCACATGTTTATCCTTTTGAACCACTTTTTTTGTACTACTACTTGGAGCTTGAACCCAGGGCCTGGGCACTGTCCCTAAGCCTCTCTGTGCTCAAGGCTAGCACTCTACCACTTGAGCCATAGTGCCAATTCTGGCTTTTTCTGTTTATGTGGTACTGAGGAACTGAACCCAGGGCTTCATGCATGCTAGACAAGCCCTTTACCACTAAGCCACATTCACAGCCCAGCCTTTTCATTCATACCTACCACTCTACCATTTGAGCCACACCTCCTTCTAACTTTTTGCTGGTTGATTGGAGATAAGAATCTCTTGAATGGGCTGACTTTGAACTATGGTCCTCAGATCTCAGTCTCTTGAGTAGGTAGGATTACAGATATAAGCCACCAGCACCTGGCTTTAAGTAACTCTCACTCAATGATTCCTATAATTGAGGAGTGTTAGGGCTCAGTGCTTATGAGTTGTTAGAAAAGCAAAAGGTTCCTGCTGTGATCCTTATCAGTTATTGGAAATAAATATGCTATTGCTAGGATCCTTAGACAATGGTAGCATTATCTTAAGTTTGTCTAGAGCTTCTTTTCTTTCCCATGTTTACTTGTAGTATATTGTTGCTAATGGTATTCTATGACTTGATTTGACTCATTCTCCAAAAGCTAAGTGTAGTTTTGTAATTAATCACTGATTTTGTTTAAGTGAATTACTTCATTGAAATTGGAGCATTGATAGTTTCAAATCTCTATCATCTTTTTGTATGTATTATCTACTTGTAGATTGGGGACTATAAGCACTTATTTTTCTTTCATTACTCATTTTATTAGCATATTTTGGTTGTACAAAGCGTATGTAGGTTCTTTGTGATATTTCCACCCATGTAACTGCAAGCCTTTTGCTGCTCAGATTGTGAATGTTATGTTTCTTATTGTAGGGACACTACTTTGGGTGCATCCATCATCTCTGTGTCTAAACTGATTGAATACGTAGGATGGCTGTCCACAATAGCATTGCGCCTGGAGAATAACAGTGCTTTCTTGCTGCATTTCATTTTGGACTTTTATGAGAAGGTAAGACATAGTTCACTTTCATTATTTAGATTTATGTGATAGCTGTTTACTAGACTATTACTTAAATTTTATGTACATCATCAGGCAGGGAGGCTGTGATTGTGTTGGCATAGTTAAAATAGCCTAATGTTCTGAAATTAATCATTCCATTTTTATTTGAATAGCGGATTAGTATAACACAAAGTGTAACACTTGGTCAGATATCACATCAGTATACCTATTATAATCTCCAACCCCTGGTAAAACCTGAAAATGTCATTTTTCCTGTCAAATATTTATATCTACCTTTTTTCTTTCTTTTTTTGTGGTAGTAGAGTTTGAACTCACGGACTTGAGCTTGTTAGGCAGGCTTTCTTCCACTTGAGCCACACTCTCCCAGCCTATCATTATGTTCACCTTTCAACTCCTGTTTTCTTCTAGTACACGATGACTTTATAATTCTAGTCATCTTTTTTTTATTATTCACCCTGGACAGAACTATTACCATGAAATATCCATTATACTCACATTTTTCCTGCTTCCTTTCTTCACTAATACCTAGTTGTCTTATATTACACATTTTCTCAGAAGCATGCAGTCCTTCATTTTCCAGGCTGACAACTAACTTACAAGGTAAATATGGAAAGGACTTAAGGAGAAAGAAATGCTCCCATTATTAATCAAATCTTTTTTTCTTAATATATGTTTTTTATTGTAAAGATACTGTACAGAGTGGTTACAGTTACCTGAGCAAGGTAATAGTCCATTTCCTATCGAGCATTGTTACACCTACTTTTTAATTTTCCCCTACCATCCCTTTCCTCCTCACCTCCCCAATTCCTCCCTCCCCTCTCCCAAGCTGTCCCCCACCAAAAAAAGTTGTAAAGTTCATTTTCAACATTCTGTCTTGTACATCTCATTGTTACAGTGGGTCATCCTGTATCCTTATTTCAGCATTTTGTTATCTAATCTTAAGATTTCTTCCCCACCCAGAAATGAAAGATTTAAAGATAATGGTATTTGAAATAATTTTCTATAGTTAGGTTGATGAGGTACATTTTACAGACTTGTAACTACCTGCTTTATTTAGGAATTGAGCAGGTCCAAATCTAATGTTATATTATTGCTTATATTATTGTTCTTTAGATAAACTTGATTGACTTCTAGGGAATAATCTATAGACTGATGTTATTACTTTTCCCAAAAGGTGTGTGACATATATATAAATTATAACCTTCCATTAGTGATGTTGCTTCCTCCTGGGATCTTTTATTCTGCACTTCTCAGCCTGGATACCAGTATCTTGAACCAGCTCTGTTATATTATGCACAGGTACAAGCCTTTTTTGACCAATGTATGGGTACTACATCATAATTTTATCCTCATCTTCTAACCTTAATACAATAAAAATTCCTTTTTATTTTCTACCAAGACCTATGTAAATAAAGAAATGTCCTACTTTCGGAGAGGACCTTTTCACTGTGAGGCTAGGATACCTGGGTTATTTTCAAATACCTCACTATAGGAAATATAGATATTAAAAATCATAGTTAAGGACCAGTGTACCATGGCACTGATGTATTCAGCTTCAATTATGAATTTCTATGTTTTAAAGAGAAATTAATATTTGTGGCTAACTGGTTTAAATATATGTAGTATTCATGTAAGAACATTTTTCAGAATGTAAGAGGAGCTATTGCCTGTTAGGTGAATTCACGTATTATTTCTGATCTTCTCTTTCACTTATGGATTGTGCTTACTATTTTCAATCCATATAGACCATTTTGGTATAACTTGTAGAACTATGTCAAGGTTAACATATTTCAAAACTAGTTAAGTAATAGTTGTCAGGCAAGAAAAATTGCATTTGTGCATTTTTTACTTTTTCTTTTGTATTTTTTTCACATAATGAAAACATGTTCTATATCAGTCACTTTTAGTGACTTTTAAGTCTCTGTTAGAATTTTTTGGCATTTGTATTAACTTATATTAGTTATACAGAGGGGGATTTCTATGTTACTTTTCTACACATTTCCAATATATTCCAATATATTTCCAATATATTCCACCCCCTCTACTACCAAAACAATTTCAACAGATTTCCTTGTTCTATTTTTATAGCTGCAAAACAGTGTATTTTGACCACATTTATCCTCTTTTAAAATATAGTTCAGGGGCTGGGAAGGTGGCTCAGTGGTAGAGTGCTTGCCTTGCATGCATGAGGCCCTGGGTTCTATTCCTCAGCACCACATAAGCAAAAAGAAAAAAAAGCCAGAAGTGGTGCTGTGGCTCAAGTGGTAGAGCGCTAGCCTTGAGCTGAAGAGCTGAGGGACAGCGCCCAAGCCCAGAGTTCAGGCCCCATGACCGGACCCCCCCCCAAAATAAAATATAGTTCAAAATTATTCAGTTTCTATTCTTCTTTTTCCCTTCAATTTGGTGTGTATGTGTATATGTATATGTGCATGTGTGCACATGTGTGCATGTGCTAGTCCTGGGGCTTGAACTCAGGGCCTGGGTATTGTCCCTAAGCTTTTCACTCAGAGCTGGTACTCTACCACTTGAGTCACAGTTTAACTTCCAGCTTTTTTGGTAATAAGTCTCATAGACTTTCCTGCCTAGGATGGCTTTGAACCAGAATCCTCATATCTAAGCTTCCTGAGTACCTGGGATTACAGGTGTAAGACACCTGCACCCAACTAGCTTGCTTGCTTGCTTGCCTGCCTGCCTGCCTTCTTTCTTTCTTTCTTTCTCTTTCTTTCTTTCTTTCTTTCTCTCTCTTCTTTCTTTCCTCTCCTTCCTTCCTTCCTTTTTCCTTCTTTCTTTCCCTCCCTTCCTTCCTTCCTTCCTTCCTTTTTCCTTCTTTCTTTCCCTCCCTTCCTTCCTTCCTTCCTTCCTTCCTTCCTTCCTTCCTTCTTTTCTATTTATCTTTCTATCTTTCTTTTTTGTCATGGGGCTTGAACTCTGGGCCTGGGTGCTGTCCCTGAGGGCTTCAGCTCAAGATGAGTGTTTTACTATTTGAGCCACAGTGCCACTTCCAATTTTCTGGAGGTTAATTGGAGCTAAGAGTCTCATGGACTTTCCTGCCTGGGCTGGTTTTGAACTGTGATATGCAGATCTCAGCTTCCTGAGTAGCTAGGATTACAGGCATGAGCCACCAGTGCCCAGCTATCTATTTGTGTTTTTTCTTATAGTAAAATATTAGAAGTATTGTTTGTTGTTTTTTTCCTTATTGAGGTATAATTTACAGAGATCAAGTGCACATCTTAGATTTCCAACTCAGTTGTTTTTGCAGTATTGAGAATTAAACACAGGGCCTCTTAGCAAGTGTTGTACCACTGAGCTTTACCCCTAACCATATAATTCAGTTTTCAGTCTCTGTTTTTGTTGTAATGCTGAGGATGGAATCATAGGGCCTCATGCATGCTAGGCATGCTTTCATTGAGCCACACCAACTAACGCACCTCTTTTTTGTTTGTTTTAGGTGGTACTGGGGTTTGAACTTAGGGCCTCATGTTTGCTAAATGAACACTCCACCACTTGGGCCACACTCCCAGCTACTGGGCCTCTTGTGTTTTTAAATTCTTTGAGGATAATGTACTAAAAAAGGATAAAATCCTCAACTAGACAACTGGGTATTTATTATGTTCTCATTTGCTTATGTTTACATTTACAGAGTATATTTTTGTTTCTTTTGCAAAAGAGTTACATCTAAATGAATATTGAGGGCTGGGAAGGTGGCTCAGTGGTAGAGTGTTTGGCTTGCATGCTTGAGGCCCTGAGTTCGTTTCCTCAGCACCACATAAGCAAAAGGAAAAAAAGCCGGAAGTGGCGCTGTGACTCAAGTGGTAGAGCACTAGCCTTGAGCTGAAGAGCTGAGGGACAGCGCCCAGGCCCAGAGTTCAGGCCCCACGACCAGAACCAAAAACAAAACAAAATGAATATTGAATGCTTCATTGTATTTGTTCTCACTATTAGGTATCGTGATAACATGACTGCTGCAAAGAAAAAGGATATGTTGGAAAAGGTATGAATTGTGGGACTGGGAAGGTGGCTCAGTGGTAGAGTGCTTGCCTTGCATGCATAAGGCCCTGGGTTCGATTCCTCAGCACCACATAAGCAGAAAAAGCCAGAAGTGGTGCTGTGGCTCAAGTGGTAGAGCGCTAGCCGTGAGCTGAAGAGCTTAGGGACAGCGCCTAGGCCCAGAGTATGAATGGTAAACCTCTGTGTTTAAATCACTGTTTGAAAATTGAGTAGACATATATTGACACATATATATATATATATATATTGATATATTGACAATGAGATATAAAGGGAGAAGAGATAATAACAATTTTTATGTTTTTCCATTAGACAAAATCAGAGTTCAATTTCAGCAGCAAGACCTGTGAAGAATTTAATAACTATTTGACAGTCATGATTGGTTGCCTGTGGACATCCAAACCTTTCAAGAAAGAAATGTATATTGAACCCCACATCCTAGGAAAAGCTAAAGTAACAGAGTATAAGAGCAATTTAAATTTAGTTCTTCATCCTTCTCTACTAAATTATGCTGCTTCCTTTTTGCTACAGGTAAGAGTAAATGAGTTGGAGATTTGGTAGTTTTTTATAAACTGTGCCTGAAAAAATAGGAATTGCTACAAATTAGGAGTGGCTGTATTAGAATATATATGTTCCATATATTTTAGTACTAATTACATTTTGGTCATTGGGTTAGGCTTTGGAGACTAATGACTTTAAGTAAGTCTCCATTCTGTAAGAGACTTTGGTCTCATGGCAGAGACAGGCTTGTAGATAAACTACTGTGATACAGTGTGGTAAAGTTAGAATAGATAAGAGTTAAAATATGATAGAAGAATGATTGCATAGTTCTGCTGAATGGCATGATGTGGCATGTAGAGAAAGGCTTTGAAGAGAAGGAAGCCCTAAAAATTAGACTTTCTAGGCAAGATTGGAAATGTAGACTTGAAGCCAAAGAAGATTTTGGATTTAATGGACTGATAATATGTGGACAGGGGAGGAGGTGTGTCTCTTCTTTCAGGACTTAAGCCTGTCATTTTAAATCTGATCAGTGCCTTGGTGAAGACTTCAATGCCATACATATCAAATGCTTGGATGACATACCAGTGGGATTTTAAGTATTTTGAAAAAACCTGAATTCAAAAGTCCCTTAACAGGTTGTTGGAGGTGTGGCTCACATGGTAGAGCACCTGCAGCAGAATTGTAAAGTTCCAGATCATGCTGGGACATACAGCATGTGTTTTCTGTGCTTATTGACTATTTATCTACTTTCTTTGAGAAATACTTATTCAGATCCTTGGCTTTGTTTGCCAGTCTTAGAGCTTTAACTCTGGGCCTGGGGGCTGTCTCTTAGCTTTTGTGCTCAAGGGTAGCTCTCTGTGACTTGAGCCAGAGCTCCACTTCCAGCTTTTTTGTGGTTAATTGGAGATAAGAGTCTCATAGACTTTTCTGCCCAGATTGGCTTCAAGTGGCTGGTTAGCACAATTCTCAGATCTCAGCCTCCCACCAAGCTAAGATTACAGGCAAGAGGCATCAGTGCCTGGCCCTTGGGTCATTTTTTAATTGGGTTATTTGCCTTTTATTAAGTTGTAAATGTTCTTTTCATATTCAAGACAAATCTTTTAAATATGTTATTGGCAAAGTTGTTTCCTATTTTTATATTGGTATCTTTTTAAGCATAAAACATTTCACTTTGAAGTCAATTTATGTTTTTCTTGTCCTGTTTGTATTTTTGTGATCAAACCTAAAATATAGTTGCCTAACCCAAGTCATCACAATTCACTCTTGGAAGTTTCAGTACGTTGAAATGCTATGAATTTTAAAACCAACTTGTCCTAGTGTTGTTTTTTATTTTGTTTTTTGTTGTTTTGGGGGTTGTGCCAGTACTGGGGCTTTTAACTTTGGGCCTATGCTCCTGCTCGCCCCTTTCCCTAAGAACTGAACATTCTCCCACTTGAGTTAAGCCTCTACTTCTGACCTTTTGCTGGTTAATTGGAGATGAGTCTGTCCAATTTGTTTGCTTAGGCTGGCTGAAAATTTCAGTCCTTAGAATTCAGCCTCTTCAGTAGCTAGGATTATAGATGAAAGCCACCAGCATTCAACCAACTTGTCAGTTTTTCCAAAGAATACCACTAGGATTCTGATAGGTAGTACTTTGAAACTATAGCTCAATTTGGGTAGTACTTCTATCTTAATGATATTAATTCTTTTCAAGGAGGGAGCATCAGATGCCTTCCCATTTGGATCCTCCTTAGTGTTCTGTGTGTCTGTGTGTGCATGCATGCATGTATGTGTGTGTACACGCGCCACACACACACACACACACACACACACACAGGTTCTGGGGCTTGAAATCAGGGCCTGGGTACTGTCTGGTGCTACACACACACACACACTGGTTCTGGGGCTTGAAATCAGGGACACACACACACACACACACACACACACTGGTTCTGGGGCTTGAAATCAGGGCCTGGGTACTGACACACACACACACACACACACACACACTTGAAATCAGGGCCTGGGTACTGACACACACACACACACACACACTTGAAATCAGGGCCTGGGTACTGACACACACACACACACACACACATGAAATCAGGGCCTGGGTACTGACACACACACTCACACACACACACACACTGGTTCTGGGGCTTGAAATCAGGGCCTGGGTACTGTCACACACACACACACACACACATGTCACACACACACTCACACTGGTTCTGGGGCTTGAAATCAGGGCCTGGGTACTGTCTGGTGCTTTTTTGTTCAAAGCTAGTGTTCTACCAATTGAGTCACAGCTCCATTTCTGGGTTGTTTTCTTTTTGGCGAAAGAGGGGCAGTGTTTAATTGGAGATAAGTCTCACAGACTTTCCTGCCCTGACTGGCTTTGAACCACGTTCCTCAAATCTCAGCCTCCTGAGTAGTTAGGATTACAGGTGTGATCCTACAGTTAGGATTACTGGCACCATAATTTTTATGGTGTTATTATAATATATGGATTTGCTTTTAAAATTAATTTTTGGGGGTCCAGTTGTGGGGCCTGAACTCTGGGCCTGGGCGCTGTCCCTCAGCTCTTCAGCTCAATGCTAGCGCTCTACCACTTGAGCCACAGCGCCACTTCCGGCTTTTTTCTTTTTGCTTATGTCGTGCTGAGGAATCGAACCCAGGGCCTCAAGCATGCAAGGCAAACGCTCTACCTTCCCAGCCCTTAAAATTAATTTTCATATTGCTGATTGCTCTTGTGTAAAAATGCAGTTAATATGTGTATAATGATTTTTTTTTGGTCGGTTGTGAGGCTTGAACTCTGGGCTTGGGTGCTGTCCCTGTGCTCTTCAGCTCAAGGCAAGTGCTCTACTGTTTGAGCCACAGTGCCACTTCCAGTTTTCTAGTAGTTTATTGGAGATAAGAATCTCATGGACTTTCCTGCCTGGGCTGGCTTTGAACCACAATCCCCAGATCTCAGCCTTGTGAGTAGCTAGGATTACAGGCGTGAGCCACCGGCGCCCGGCTTGTATAATGATTTTTAGATAGAGCTTTTTAGTCGATTTCTTATGATTTTCTTTATAAAAATTGTGTCATTTGTAGACAAGGATAATTTTATTCTTGTTTTCAAATCTGAGTATCTATTCTTCATCTTGCCTAATTGCACTGCCTGGATTAGATATAATGTTGAAGACAAATTGCAGAGTGGGTCCTTGATCATTTCAGTTTGACACCCATATAGTAAAAGATTCTTTGGATGCCTTTGTCATTGAAGAACTTTCCTTGTATTTTTCCTTTCCTTTTTATCCTTCATGAATATTAAATTTTGTACAATGCCTTTAATCTACAAACATGGTCACATGGCTTTTGTTTTCTAGTCTATTCCTAGGATGTCTTACATGAATTGATGTTAGTACTTAACCAGGTTTGCATTCCTAGAATAAATCTCATTTTGTCTAAAAAATAAATCCTTTTATATGTTGCTAGATTTTGTTAGTAGTCTGGGAAGTTTCAGTGTTTATATTCATAAGGCATGTTGGTTTTCCTTATGATGTGTTTGGTTTGAGAATGAATTTGGTTATTTCTCTTTTCTGAGCTTGGAATATGCTTTCTTCTCCTGTTTTATACAAAACTTGATGAAGTATTGGCATTCTTCTTTAAAGTGTTTGGCATTGAAACCATCTGGTTTGGCTATTTTTTAGTGGAAAGTTTTAAAATTTCTAATTACCTTTGTTGTTAATATTTGTATTAATATTTTTAAAGAATTGAGTTTTGATTTCACTTTTTTCTACTGTTCTTTCTAAATTATAATTGTGGTAAATATACATGATACATAAGTAAAAAGTATATGTATAGTTCAATGCCATACTACCATCACTTAGCCATTTATTTCTGCTCTGATCTTTATTATTTACTTCCTTCTTGCTTTTGGTTTAATTCTCTCTCCTTCTCCCTCTCTCTTCCCCTCTCTCATTTCTCTATGTAGCCCAGATGGCTTTGAATTTGCCAACCTTCTGTCTCCAGCTCCACTGCCACCTGAATGCTGAGATTACAGATGTGTACCATTAGACTTAGATTTATTTTTTTAGGTTCTCAAAGTGGTAGATAAGATTACTGAATTGAGGGGCTGGGAAGTTGGCTCAGTGGTAGAGCACTTGCCTTGCATGCATGAGGCCCTGGGTTCGATTCCTCAGCACCACATAAGCAAAAAGAAAAAAGCCGGAAGT